CAGTTTTTGTTGTGATCATTGTTGGGTTTGTTTTGTTTTATTTACCCTTTCTTGGATTATTTATATTTCCCTGTCATACCTGACTTTTTAAACATTCTCAGCCTTGGATCACAAAACTGCTCTTTAGACTCTTCGTGTGAACTTATTTTTGACTATATGAGGTTGTTCCTTTGTAAGAGCAAGAAGGTAAATATTTTTGAAGTAGTCTTCTTTCATAGATCATGCTTCAACATGATCGTACTTGAGTCCGCTTCTAGCCTGATTCCTGTAAAAGCTCGGAGGAGGAATCAAACACCAGCACTAGAACTGGTCTTGGAGGGTGTAGCAAATCACCTTGCAGCAAATCACACAACTACCGTTCGCATCCTTATTAGCCATGGTTCCTTGAAACCCCGGGCGCACGGGTCAGCCCCACCTCGCCACATGCCATGAAAACAGTTTTCTCAAACAGCTTTAGTTCTCTCCTGAAAAATAGTTGAAATTATGTCATTCCCTTTCTCAGAAAGGTGGAACACACACACACACATTCCTGGGCAGAGTATGCAACACACATTCCTGAGCATAGTATACAAGGCCCTCTCCTCTGCAAGTAGTCCTAAACTGTCCAGCCTCATTTCCTGTGTATTTCTTTTGCAGTTAGATGTGTTCCAAATACCCAAGACTTTGACGTTGTACCATTTCACTTTCTGTGTTTGTGCCATCTGCAGTGACTCTCCCCTGTTCGTCATTACATGTCTAATCCTGCCCATCCTTCATAACTTCACTAGTTCAAATATTGCCTCTTCCAGGAGTTTTTTTCTGTTCTGTATTCCGCGTTACCCTTTTATTCTTGTGTAGTCATCTACATGATTGTGTTGTGTAGATTTTAGGTTCTTTGAGAATAGGGACTTAAACATTTCTTACTTATTGTATCCCCTCAAGCACCAAAATTCTTTGGCTTTTCTTGGCTTGTAGAAGTATAACTCTAATCTTTGTCTCTGCCTCTCTGTCAACTCCATCTTACCTCTGTTTCTGTGTCCAGATTTCTCTTTTTATGAGGACACCAGTCATTGGGTTAGAGCCGATCCTATCTAGTAGGACTTCACCTTAACTTGATTATATCTGTAAATAACTTGTTCCCAAACAAGGTCATATTCACAAGTACTGGGAATTAGGAATTGAACAGATCTTTTGAGGGGACATAATTCAACTCCAATACATGGCTGTATATATTTTATAGATCATTCTGTTTCCTGTACTTGAAATGATTTGAACTGTTGCTTACCTTTCAGGTAAGTAATTTAGACTGTGGTCACTTACTTCCTGACCTTGATGAAATAAGACTAGAAATAAGACCTGGCTTCACTTCCAACTAGGCAAATCTTAGCATCATAGAATGTTAAAAATGAGGTAATTCTGATTAGAATAAATGTCTTTAAAAATAATCATATACTTTAAGGCAAAAGCTCAAGGTGTATTTTTCATACCTGTTTGAATCAGACCAAGTTGCCCTCTGTAAAGCACAAGGAACCATGGTTGGTGCTCACAGAAGGTCCACAGTAATGGTTGGTTGGATGTTGAAGTGCATGTGAGCACAAAGAGTGTAAATGTGGTGTGCGAGTATGACCAATGCAAGCCCTGTATATGGAGGATGGTAGGGAGAAGAGCTGGCAGTGTGCTGGGAGATTTCCCTAGATATTTTTTTTAATCTTCACAGCAGGCCCTGGAGTGCTTCTGGGGGAGGGGGGGGCTGTGTCGGGGGAGGTACTTTCCCAAGGCCAGAAACCCTCCACAGAGGGAGGCAAAACAGATTTGATCCTGGGGTTGTCTCATTTGGAAAATCCCATTTAATCTCCTTTGTCCTACCTGCATTTCCTCCACCAGATTACTCAACTGTAATTTCCCCTACTAATACTAATGATAGTAAGTGTCAAAATTATAATTAGGTGTTAAACCAAAGATAGTATTGATATAGAAGAAGGTGAATAGAGTTTTCTGCATATTTTATAAAATATTTTGTAAGGTATTTGGGTAAAAAAATTGAACAATCTTGACATACATACTTTTTCCCCCTTTTCCACATCTTTTATTTCCATCTTTTAAAAATTGAAACATAATATAAAAATTTTAATGAGGTGTTGTAATCATTATTAAATTTTAGCTCTAACAGAAGTTGTCCTCCGTTTGATAGTTGAGTTGGTGTTACCTCTCAAAAATAAGGATTGGACAGCTTGCTTTGTAAATTATAATGCTGTTTTAGCAAAATGTAATTACTGGGGCAAAACAGATTGAATAAGAAAATACAAGGTAATTAAATTTTTGTTGAGTTTTCACTTTTAAGAACTTTAACCTGTGTACTGTTTTAATAATTTCAGAGGGTGTTTTTAGTCATCTCGTGCAATTTTAAGATTTAGTGGTTTGGGATACAGTCATCAGGACTTTCCAGTTTTAAATGACAGAAAACTAACTCCAGGAATAGTATTCCCTCAGGAACGAGTAGCTGGCTTTGACTGCCAACAGGAATCCGTCTGATTCCATTGCTCACTCCTGCCTTCCTCCACGGTGACTATTTTCAGGAAGATTCTTACCTCCTACTGGCAAAAAATAGGCACCAGCAACTCCAGGGTTACCATTAATCAGCAGAGCAACCAGGTGTGGGGATCGGCTGGCACAGCCCAGCTGGAGGGCATATGGTTGTGTCTGATCACCGTTCTGGGCCGTGGACTACCTCTAGACTGGGAGGAGCAGAAAAACGATTTGTGTTGCCATGTTGTTATGAAAATTAGGAGGAGGGAGTGCTGGACATGACAGCTCAGAACATGGTAGCTTAGGGAGTTAAAAGAAGGTACAGCCAGAACTTTTTGTGGTGCTGGGACCGAGGAAAACAAGTCTGCCACCCTGAAAGAACGTGTTCAGTGTTAACTACCATTGCCTGAAAAAGGACAGGACCAGTAATGCCCAGTTTCTGACTGGGTCCTAGACACTATCAATTTAAAAAAATAGTAACATTACCAATTCTCTTAAGTAATTATTATCATTTTGGAGCACTTTCTGTGCATCAGTCTGTGTGTGAAGCGCTTTGCACATTTCATTTGCTTCCTACGGCAGCTGCATGGGGTGGGCAGAAGTACTCCCACTGCACTGATGAGGGAATGGTTGCTCCGAGAGTTAGGATTTGAATCCAGACTTGTCTGACTTCACTTCAGTCACACTGTCTGCGAGCTTCACAGCTTGCTTTGCTGCTGTCTCCCTAACTGCCTGTCCTCTATCCCTTCAGGGCAACTCCCGCTCTTCCAGCAGTCTCCAGGCAGTCTGCGCCTCTGGTGCTTCAGGCTCCATCCAGTCCACCACCTGATCTTATCAGTCCTGCCCCTTAACTTCCCTCCAGGGTTCACCCCCTTTTCCCCTCCTCCATTGCTGTCACTCTAGCCTTCCTTATGAAGGGCCTGAACTCCTAATAAACTCTATTTGGCTTCCTGCTTCCAGTTTTATTCTGCCCCACCCCTGTTTCCCTTAGAACAGTCAGATTGAACTTTAAAAAATATAGACCTGAATTTATCAACCTTTGTTTACCTTGGCTTCTCACTGCCCCTGGGGCAGGCATCTGCCTCCAGCCTGCCTTCCCAGTCTACCTTTCAGGCCCTGTTTCTCCTTCTCACTACTTTTCTCTCCTTTCTCAAATGCATCACTCTTACATTTTACCCTGTATCTCCTCCCTTTTCCTATTGTGTTCTTCATTCTCATACTATATCTCTTTAACTCTTCTTCAAGTTCCCATTTAAATGTCACTTCCTTAAGCCCCTGGCTGGGTAGCTCAGTTGGTTAGAGTCTCCATCCTCCAGTGTGAGTTTGATCCCATGTCCGTTCCATCCCGAGTCAGGGCACTTGCAAGAATCATCCAGGGAATGCAGAAGTGAGCAGGACAACAAATCGACGTTTCTCCCCACCCCGCCTCTCTCCCCCCCTCCCTCCCTCTCTCTCCCTTCTTAAATCTATCAATCAATCAATAAATGTTACTTCCTTAAATCATTTAGGGACTTCTCTACACCTTTTCCCAGCCCCTTAAATCTGAAAATATGAGACTCTTGTCACAACCTTTACTTTTCCTTTTTGCACTTGTGACAATCTGCAGTTACACATTTATATATGATTATTAGCCTCGTGTGCCCCACGAAACCATGCACTTACTCCATGTCGGCAGGGACCAAGTGTGTTTAGTCATTAACTGCTGAATCTCGAACACTGACTACAGTGCCTGGAACAGAGTAGGCACTCAAATATATGTTGAATGGCTTAACAGACGAATAACCGAATATGCCCAAAGCAGTGCAAGTACCCTTTCTATAATTCTCACATCCGATTTCATTTTTTATTCAAGAACAAACCTATGTTTAGAGCAGCTTTATCCCAATAGCTTTTGGTTTGCTTAGGAATAAGCCATGCTTACTTTACGTTTGATTGTTTTAGTAATTCAGATGCTGTACAGTGATATACTTGGCTTTCAAAACTTGCGTATCAGAGCCAGCCATGACAGAGAAAAGTACTACATTTTGGGATGTGTGATTCTCCCCAGTTTGACACGAACATGGGTGGGTGGGTGGGAGCAGAAGAGAGACGGCTCTGCTGACCTGCTGCACGTGGTTCCCAGCCCAGCGACATGAAAGCTTGGACACCCCCAGACCAGAGGTGTGCCATCCCCAGAACCCAGACGTCCAAATTTAGCTTTCCCCACATGTCCTTAGGATTTCTGGCTACAGCCTTTGCCCCAAGTGGCTTTGGAAAGAGAATCACTAGTAATTCATTATTTAAAGTGGTCTTCCCAACCTTTGTCATGGACAGTGGCCGTATTTGTACGGCCCCTTGGGGTCCACAGTCAGGCTGTCTGCCGGGGTCTGAAGGGCTGACTGTCTCTGCATACTTGTGGCGTCCTGACGTGCACACAGGCACATTGGTTGGGAGACTTTTTGATTATTCCAAACGTTGCAGAAACCATAACCTCTCTCTCCCTTTTTAATCCCTAGTTGGTCGTGTTCGGAGTTTGACCTGAATGAGATTCGCCTGATAGTTTACCAGGACTGTGAAAGGCGAGGCAGACAAGTCTTGTTTGATTCTAAAGCTGTTCACAAGATCGAAGAGGTGTCGACTCAGGTATGCAATGCAGATTTGCTTTCCTCTTTTCTGTTTGTGCTTTTAACCACCTGTCTGATCAGTCATTTATTAATCATCATTGTCTCTTTGGGCTGTATTGTACACTGCCATTGATGATTCAGAAGAAGCATAAGAAAAGCTTCCTGAACCAACCCCGCCAGCTGCATTTGTATTTTTATTAATACACAGGTGAAACTGTTAGCAAGTAATCGTGACAGAAGCTGAGTAGTATGCTGTAAATATTACTAGGGGTGAATTTGCTGGTGAGTTGCAGTCTAGCAGTATTTTGATACCGAATATGTGCAGTGTAATGGGAAATCTGAGAACCCTAAAATTCATAAAGTATTAGCCTGAAGGGAAATTAATAGGTCATTCTGTCTAGTATTTCCCACAGATAGTGTTACAGCACAGTGGGTCAACAAAATTAGGTAGCTCTCCTCAGCGTAGGGCTTCAGTGTGCTAACACGCATTGTCATCTTCATTCAAAAGGGAGTGCTTCTCAAACCTCTGTCAGAGGACATTTCTGTTCCTTTTCTTGGTGGAAACCAGGGAGGTGGTGGTGGTGGTGGTGTTGAGGGGCGGGGCGTGGGGGAATCTGGGGATGGGTACAGTGAGGACAGGGCAGCCCCTATCCCTCAGAGCCAGAATGGGGAAGGTAGGGTGGTGCGTCCAGGTGATGCGCAGAGTCTGGTCCTCCCTGAGTCTTCTGGATGTCTGTCCAGGGTACTTGCAAGTTGTCACCTTTAGATCTTTCGTTCTCTTTTCAATAGTTATTCAGCCATCTGCAAATTAAATAAATCCATTTGTATTCATTCTTTTTATGTTTAATAACTTGCTACCTATATAACCCTAATTCTGGCAGTTTATAGATTTTGTAGTTAAGTAAATGAGTAGTTTATATTACATTTTTTATCTCATCAGGGCCAAGGGGCTGACTTCCTGCTTTTGATATGAATCCTTTCTGCAGGAAGGAAGTATTTGGTTAAAGGTAGTTTGGCTGGGTGGGTTCTGTAGTGCACTAAAGTGGAAGTCTGCCAGGTGGCTAATCATTACAGGAGTTGTTGGGCTTGTCAGGTAGGTTGGGGGGGAGGGGGGGCTTGAAACCTCTCAGGTGATTCACCTGTAAGCTTTAGTGCTAGATTTGTATCAAAGCTGAGGTGAGCCAGCACTAGGCCCTTGGTCTGGTGGGTGGGATGTGGCTTCCCCTTGATTTCCCACATCACTTCCTGTTTTCCCTGCAGACTCAGTGCAGATGGTTTAGTTGAGGGCTCCTAATGGTCATAACAGGTGAGGGAAAAAATTCACGCTGTTTTTCAAAAAGCAGCTGGAATCTTCAGTACATCAGAGCAGTGGTGACTCTGGAGTCTGGAACATAAGCTTTCTTGGAAGCACTCATTTAATCAAAAACACAGTTAGGTCCAGGGAGGTTTGTAACGTGCCCATGGCTACGGAAGGATTCAGTGGATGCTCTACCCGCTGTACCAGGTGCTGTCGCCAATTATAGACTGCTCAGAAGGTTGTGCCCCAGCAGGGGGTCTAGCAGTCCGAGGCAGGTGTGGGCCTCGTGTCACTCTAAGTCCTCTGAGGGGCTCTGTTTGTGGCTTAAGTGGTATTAAGTAACAGCTAGATCTGAAGAGGGTGTTGAGGGAGTGCCAGATGCTCTGGAATAACCAAGTACAACTTGGAGTGCTGTCACTGCTGGAGCGACTGGTATGGACCAGCACAGTGCATGTTTTCCTTACCTTCTCTTCCTGTTTGCAACCCTCCACCCCCTTGGCAAGCACAGAACGTCATGAGTTGGTATCAAGCACATGACTGCAGGCATTTGCATTAGACCACCAGTGTGACTGTCACATTGGAGATTAGATAAGCTACAGTTGCATTCATGGTTTTGCAAGCAAAAGCACACGGGGGAAAAAAGCAAATACGGCTTGGAATAGCCACAACTTATAGAGGGCACAGGATACCTCTGTAGGAAGTAATGTGTTTAGGAGTGGGAAGAAGGGAAAATTTAGTAAAAATGTATCTTTATACCTTTATGTCATGAAATTAGCAGTGAACTCTCTTTAGGGAATGTATAGCAGATAACCTTCCATTACCCCTAACCTTTAAAGGCCAGATCTCCATCACATGCTGTGTAGTTTGCAGTGGCTCCTGTTTCAGAGTTTTGGCTTCATCTTTCACAGACTCAACCTCATGATGTTTTTTCTGATTACTTCTCAAGGAGTTCTGAAAGAGGTGTGTCACTAAAAACACAAACCCAGTCTTTTTAAATTAATATTTTTGGTTTTCTTAGTTGCATTTGGTAAAAATTTGAATTTGAAGCAATGCATTTCTCAGCAGTTTTATAAATTATGACTCTTAGTACTCAAAATCCTCTAATAACAAAAATAGGAGCTTATTAATGATTTTAAAATATAAATTTGAAAGTAAATAACAGTTGCATTATTTATTCATTTATTTATTTCAAGTATATTTTATTATGTTATGACAGTTGTACCAGTTTTTCCCCCTTTGCCCCCCTCTGCCCAGTACCCCCTTTCCTTCTACAATCCCCTCTTAGTTCATGGCCATGGGTTGTGCATATAAGTTCTTTGGCTTCTCCATTTCCTATACTATTCTTAACCTCCCCCTGTCTGTTTTGTACCTACCATTTATGAGTCTTAATCCCTGCACTTTTTCCCCCATTCTCTCCTTTCCTTCTCGCAGCTGATAACCCTCCAAATGATCTCCGTATCTATGACTCTGTCCCTTTTTTGGTTGTTTGCTTTGTTTGTTTGTTTTTTTAGATGCAGTTATTGATAGTTGTAATTTTTTGCCTTTTTAATGTTCACAGTTTTGAGCTTCTTTTTCTTAAATAAGTCCCTTTAACATTTCATGTAATAACACTTGGAGGTGATGGACTCCTTTAGCTTTGCCTTGTCTGGGAAGCACTTTATCTGCCCTTCCATTCTAAATGATAGTTTTACTGGATAGAGTAATCTAGGTTGTAGGTCATTGCTTTTCATCACTTGAATATTTCTTGGCAGTCCCTTCTTGTCTGCAAAGGTTCTTTTGAGAAGTCAGCTAATAGTCTTATGGATATTCCTTCATAGGTGACTCCCTGCTTTCCTCATGCTGCTTTTAAGATTCTCTCTTTATCTTTAATCTTTGGCATTTTAATTACGATGTGTCCTGGTGTGGCCCTCTTTGGATCCAACTTGTAGGGGACTCTCTCTGCTTCCTGAACTTGTATGTCTATTTCCTTTGCCAAATTAGGGAAGTTTTCTTTCATTATTTTTTCAAATAAGTTTCCAGTTTCTTGCTCTTCCTCTTCTTCTTCTGGCATTCCTATGATTTGGATGTTGGCCCTTTTGGAGACATCCAGAGTCTTCTTAAACTCTCCTCATTTTTTAAAAAATTCTTGTTTCTTCTTTTTGTTCTGGTTGAAAGTTTATTTCTTCCTTTTGTTTCAAATTATTGATTTTTCTTCTTCTTTTTTTTTTTAAAGAAGGAGAGAAACATCAATGTGTGGTTGCCTCTCATGCACCCTGTACTAGGGATCTGGCCTGTAACCCAGGCATGTGCCCTGACTGGGAATCAAACTGGTGACCCTTTGATTCTCAGGCCTGCGCTCAGTCCACCAAGCTACACCAGCCAGGGCTCAAATAGTTGATTTGAATCCCAGCTTCCTTCCCTTCACTGTTGGTTCCTTGTAGATTTTTCTTTATTTCACTTAGTATAACCTTCATTTCTTCTTTTACTTTGGTGCCGTACTCAGTGCGTTCTTTGAGCATCCTGATCACCAGTGTTTTGAACTCTACATCTGATAGGTTGGCTAGCATCATTTCATTTGGTTCTTTCTGGGGTTTTGTTCTGTTCTTTCATGTGGGCCATATTTCTTTGTGTCCTCAATTTGACAGCCTCCTTGTGTTTGTTTCTATGTATTAGGTAGAGCTGCTTTGACTTCCTGTCTTAGTAGCATGGCCTGTTGTTGAAAAGGCACCTGTAAATTGTGTGGGCAGATCCTTAGGTAATCACCAGGGCAGGGCAACCCACTTCACTGCTTTGTGGCTGTGGGGGAAAGGACGGTGCTGCTGCCTGGCTTCTGGAGATTTGCCCAGCGCTTGCCTCATTTCCAGTTGCTTCACCCACTCCTCAAATGTGACTGGCACCCTTCTAGCTGTTGCCCTGGTTTGAAATCCCAGAGTGAGTGGATTTGGTACCTTTTAAGACCATGAGTGCCCTTTAAGTGGAGTTTACTGAAAATCTGGCAATTTTCTCCTGCTGTCCCAACCCTCACTGGTTTTTATAGCCAGAGTTCTAGGGATTTATCTTCCCGGCACTGGAACCCTAGGCTGTGTGGTCTGGCTTGGGGCTGGGATCACTGGCTCCCCAGGTATCCCTCCTGATTTTTGTCCACCACACATGAATGTGGGACCACCCGTGCCCATTTCACTGTTGCTGCTGCCTCTCTGCGCCTCCTTGCCTCTCCACTCATGTGAGTGACTCTGCCCCTCTTACCCTTCTGGGTGATGTGGGAATGTGGCTTCTTTAAGTCATTCATTGTCAGACTTCCATACAGTTCTCTTTTCTGATGGTCTGGGTGTTATTTGTTTTGAGGGTTAGTTGTAAATCTTTTTGTGGTTGAGTGAGGAAGCGAAGCACATCTTCCTATGTGTCCGTCTTGACCAGAAGTAGTAGTTGCATTATTTAAGGAGAATAAAGTCTTAACATATAACCCACCACCTCTGTCCAGACTCCTTCTCCAGCATTTCCCCTCCCAAATGTCATAGACTCACGGGAACCACATTTCTGTCCTCAGTAGAAGAAAAAAATCTCAGGTACAACATAAGAGAATGTTTTAACAAAGGAATTCCCAGCGAGGACTGTGTTGAGGAAGCCTGCTATATTTAGCAGTGCTTTACCTTGCCTCTATCTCCTAACCCAGAAAACAGAGGATGTGCCTATTAAAATGTCCGCCAAGTGCTGTCAAGGAAGCAGCAGCGGCAGCAGCGGCGGCGGCGGTGGCGGCGGCAGCAGCAGCAGCAGCAGCAGTGGCGGCAGCAGCATCTCCTTCCACAGTTCTTCTGGGGGATCGTCCCAGCATGGGAAGGAACAGCTTCCCAAGTACCAGGTAACCACATCTCTTCCGTGTGGAGTACACCAGGGGGCTGAAGTCACTTACTGTCATTTTTCCACGGGGAATAATGCCTGGGGAGGATTCCATTCCAGGAATGGGAGGATCAGGGTTACATAACATGCTCCCTTAAATGTTTCACATCAGTGCTGTTTTCACACAGTGGCTTTTATCTCTTGATAAAAACTGTAGTGGAGCAGAAGTGACCCAGCACAATACATACCGAATGAGGAGAAATACTGCAAATGAGGTAAACTTTGGTTTTGCCTCCTTTGTTGCCAGAAGCAGATTAGTAAACATGTATTTTCCAGCTTTTTTACCAGAACGCTGAGTATTCTGGGAATGTTCTTGGGCCTTCGAAGAAAATAGCACTTGCCAGTGAAGGAAGAAAGCCTCGTGTAGGAGAAGAAAGAAAGGGCAAGACCTAATTGGAGTGTGAAGGACAGGGGGCTGGGAGCACTTTTTACACTCTGTGTATATGGCAGTAGAGGCTAAGGATCAGTGTTACTGAGAAATATACCAGCTAACTAGATTTAAGGAAAAAACATTTATAAATACCGAAATAGCAGAAGGCTGTTAATCGATGGAAGATACATCAATGTTTCTCCTTTTGGATCCATGTAGAATTTTGTCTGTCATGTTGTTGGAGAGGCAAAGCCAGGGAAATTACCAGCAGACACAGGTCTACAGAACTTTATTTACAGGCCCTGTGCCGTGCACTTGCCCTTTATTTCACAGTGCTCCTGACTCTCAAAGCAGCCTGGTTAAAAAAGCATAGAGAGGACCATCTATGTAGTTGTGAATCACAGTTAGCATGTGGACCTTGTAGCCCAAGAAAAAGCAGATTATAAAATGGAAGTCGTGGGTGGAAGTTATTAATAAAGCATGTGAAACCAGGTGGTTTCTGTCTGCATGTAGTAAGGTGAGGTTAGTATGAGCTGTAACCAGGGAGGAGCCGAGTTAAACAAGGCCAATAGATTTATGTGTCCCTTTCTTCCTCTGCAGACATGGACAGGTAGGTATGTTTATGTGTTTGTGTGAACCTGTGTGTATGTATATATGTTTGCATGTGTGTACTTGGAGTTTGGAAAAAAAAAAACAGATTGAGAAGAGAGTGTTAAGGGTGATTCCCATGTGTTTGCTTGGGTGGAAAGCACAGTAGCAGGGAAGCTGCCTGGTGGGCTGGGTCACAGAGAGATAGTGGTTTTGTTTTGGTCAAGCTTTGCTGGGTTACATCTGTTCTGTTCATCAGTGTGTCACCAGCATTTAGAATAGGTGCTTAGAATCCCATATCCAGTGCATTTATTCACATATCATAGGATGTTCATAATATTCAAATGTGGCATGTGAGCGAATGCATTGGATATAGGATTCTATAATTCAAGAAGTTTGGGTCTAGAGCCAAAGAGGGGGGCATTCCTATGTAAAGAATAATCAAAATATAAGAGGGGTTGAGAATGCAGACATTGAGTAGGAGGGCCCTCTGAGGAACAGTCCCATTCAAGGGATGGTCTGGGAAAGGAGATCTAGCAGCGGAGTTAGTAAGAGCATCATCTACTGTGAGAGACACTTAAGAAAGCAAACCGGAAAGTGTCCACTGCAATTGACAGAGAGGCGGGGGTCATTGCTGGAGCGGTTTGCCTGGAGGAGGCTGCAGAGGCTAAGGAGCAGATGAGGTGGGCAGAGGGGGACTGGTGCAGTCTGCCCTTTTGGATGATGGAAGGGCTGAGAAAAACTGGGAAGAAGCTAGAGGGGCCAAGGCTGTTTTATACAAAAAGCTGTTTTGTATAACTCCAGAGGTACCAAAGTCTCTGGTGTTTTTTAGATCCTCACAAATCCTGCCTGCACCGATTAGCATTTTTGTCCAACACGGTTTATTATTTGACGGAATGAGGCTGAGCCATTTCTTTTCAGGGTGTGTTCTTAGTACCAGGGGGAGAGTGACCCTGCTTCCTTCAGAACTTAATCTTTCTATTTAGACTTTATTGATGGAGATAATAAAAACGTTTGTTTCTCATAACAAAACTGAAAATAAACAGATAAAAAACCCTGGGATCCTTATGACGATATTGTGTATAAAGAAGAAATTATGAACATTAGTAACAATTTGAGGAAAAAGATGTAACCTCACCATTAAGATTGTAAAATGACCAGTTGCATCTCTGAGAAATAATTATGTGCTAAACTGAAGAGGGACCCAGAGATTAATGGACATCATTTTCTGTTACATTGCACATCACGTGCCACGTGCTGGCTTTGATTTTGGTTTCCTTTGTGTGGGACAGTACACGAGACCGGCTTCGGATGTCAACATGCTGGGGGAGATGATGTTCGGCTCCGTCGCAATGAGTTACCAGGGCTCCACCTTGAAGATACACTATATACGGTGAGTCGGGGCTGCCTTTTCTATTGGTCGTGAGAAGTGGAATGGCAATACTGACTCCTTAGTTCAAAAATGCCTTTCTTCTTTCTCTCCCCCCAGCTCTCCTCCACAGCTGATGATTAGCAAAGTTTTCTCTGCTAGAATGGGCAGCTTCTGCGGGAGTACAAATAAGTAAGTGTGGGATTTTGCACACCACCTTCCCCCACCCTATTTTTTTAACTGGCTACTTTCTGGATAGAGTGATTCTCCAAGGGCCGTAAATGAGAAGCTGGATGAGTCCATGTTAACACAGGGATCTTAAAAGTGGCTATTTTCCTATACATAGCGCGTATAAAAAAGGCCTTTGACTCAGTCAGGTGGCCTTAGTGACAAGTGACCGTTTCTGCATATTGGGTCCCTCTGTTACCGCGTGTTTACTGCCATCTCCCAGCTTCCATTCCCAGAAAATGAACAGGGAAGGGGGAAAGGAGGGGCCACGTTCAGGAGTTTATGGTATTTCCCAATGTTATTTTATCCTTTAAAAAACTCGAAGACTTGTTTGTTAGTGTGTTTGTTTATTTGTTTAAGGAACGAAGCACCCAGTTTTTCCAGGTTGCTGGGGACCTGTTTGGCAGGACCGGCTGTCCGTGCTGGCCACCCAGGCAGCTGCTGGTGTGGCCTCTGTGATTGGCTGGTTCTCAGGCCATGCACTATTTTGATTTTCACTCCTGAGTTTTTTCTTCCTCTACTTTTACTTCTGTGTAAGCTAAAAGTACTGAAATATCTGCCTTAACTCTCATTCTGGTACACTTACTCATGTATTTTGAACTTTGCAAGCAGAAATATTTTCTATACTTTAAAAAAATAAAATAAAGCATTTGTTATTCTTTGGTAAGTTTGAAAGAAAGGTTAGTTATAAATTAAAGGGGTATTCTTATGAGTCAAATGAAGGCTGCTATCCTGAGAAATTAGAAATGTATTTCTTTGCAGATTTGGGTACCATTTGAGTAAGTGTGCCCACTTTTCAACAATGTGACAAACTGAACTTATTTGAGCACTTAACAATGGGCTGGCATGACTGAAGCCAGTACAGGAGGTGATGTTTGTTTCTTGTGAGAGATTCTTTTTCCTAAACATGTGTTACACTAACTCCCTGTAATAGAATATCGAGCTCAGATTTCACTAAAAATCATTTTGACCTCATCGTTCTGTATTATTTTCAAAATCTTGATTTTTATTTTACTTCCTATAAATGATCAAAATCTGCTTCCCTCACGTGTGTGTGTGAGTAACGCTGAATTTTCAGGTGTTGGGAACTCAGACTCCTGTAGGAACCACATCAATTTCTGTTGTTTCCTCCTTTAAAAAGTCATTGCATTGCTCACTGATATTAACTGAGTTCAAATTAATTTCATTTTGAAGGTTTATGTAAAATTGCCTTTGAAACGAATAGTAACAGGTTGGGTGTCAGTCACTAAAGCAAAATTTAGAAATGAATAGCAATATCCTAGGTGTTAGTCACTGATCAAATTCTATTTGTCCCAGTATGTAAATATGAAATGTTAGGAATGCGTTGTTTGGTTTTATAGGTTGGACTACCTCCAAAAAGCTTGTCTTTTCTTTTCTTCTAACAGACTCCCCTAAAGGGTAATTCCCTTTGGTAGATGTGAGACTTTATTCATTTATTTAAAAAGTCTGAGCAACTGATTAAATTGTCTGTATTTGAGAGTCTGTTAGAAAACAGGTTTATTCATCTCTTGACGTTTTTCTCCTCTCTCGCCCTCCACCTTCCTGGATTTAGCTTGCAAGACAGCTTTGAATACATCAACCAAGATCCCAATTTGGGAAAACTGAACACAAATCAGAATAACTTGGGTCCTTGCCGTACTGGAAGTAATTTAGGTAAATCAACCCCATGAATGGGTTCATTCTTTCTGAATACCACTGTTGTGGGTGTGTGTTTTGCTTTATTTGAGTTGTTGTGTTGTTTTGTTTTGTTTGCATTATCTTTAATCTGTATTTATTTTTTTGTGCGTACTTTGTTTGCCCTCCTCTGTGTGTCTCTGTCCCCAGGTCTGCTGCAGGCGTGCAGCAGCAAGCTGCTGCAGGGGGTGGCGGAAGGAGGACCTCTCCGGCTCACCCGCAGTGCTTCTTTCTTTGCAGGTTTGTGTGGAATGCTGAGTACAGTGTGACCCACACACATAGTAATCCATCCTGTGCAGGTTCTTAGCAAAAAATCCTGTTTGCTGCCTCTCTAGAAATCCAAGGGGCTCTTGAGATATTAGTTTCAAATGGAGCCAAGTTCATGGTGTTTTGAAAATTTCACCAATGAACCTCTATTGTAAATACCTTTGATAAACCCCAGAGTAAGCTGATTTTGGTCTGAAATGAGCCCTTAGTGTTTCTAAGAGGATTATATTTTCTGATTTTTGTAGGCTTCTTCTGCTACTATGAATCTTTTCCCTTTGCCATGGTATGTTTTATCCATTTATTCACCTGCATCCGTACCTGTGCACAGTTTCTTCGGAAGTCACTCTAATAAGAGCATGGAAGACATCTCTCCCTCTCTGTCTCTCTCCCTCACTCTCTCTCTCCCTCTTGCATTTAAGTAGTTTAAATGCAATCTCTAGGTTCTTCACAGGTGTAATCATCTTGGTCTCTGTGGGTAGGTAAAGCCTGAGATTTAACTGACCTTGCTAACTAAAGGCTGCTGAATGGCTGTTGTAGTCTGGCATGATTAACAAGTGTGGGGACCTTCATTACTAGCATTAAAGGTTATATTTACTGCAGAAGGTATTCTTTTCTTTTTTGTAGCCTGAAATATGCCTAAGCACCACAGTTAACTGACACCCCAATAAAACTGACACCCTCCTCCCTCCTTAGAGTGAGGAGAGCATGCTTATTTGTGCTCTTAAAGTTGTGGAAGTCAGTATGCTTTAGGAACTAGCTGGCGAGAATGTTCCTCCGGCAGGGCCCTGAGCTGAAAGTTCACTGTAGCAATGTGTCATCTGTGCTCTAGCTCAATGAGTGCACAGTTTCAGTCCGTCTGAAGCATTCCTCCAAGTCTGTGATTCTGTAGTGTTTTCTAAAATTCATGCCAGGACATGAGTTTTCCTAAGTAACTTTGCGATAATACTGTGTATGAGTGTATGTGGAAAAGAAGCGGAGGAAGAAGTATTTGAAAATGAATATAAATGTTTTCTATCTTCTAGGAGAGTGGGTTATAAACAGAGAAACATTTTTTAAAATTATGAAATGGTTTTGAAGTATTTCTCTTCCCTGAGTTGCCTATAGTTACTACTGAAACTGTAAAGACTTTCAAAACTACAGTGCTATTTAAATTGTTACTAAATATGAGGAAAAGGGCTAAAAATATCAGCCTGAGAATGTTTGTTCGTTGTATCAACTACACCAATAGTCAGTTACTCGGCTTGTAGAGACCAGCATCCCTCCAGTAAGTTTACATGGTGCAGCAGCAGAGTGAAGGCGAGCAGTCACTTGGTTTCATTTTCTTCTTATTCTCACCGTCATCTTTTTGTGTGTTTAATTTTGATTTCTAATTAATCTCTATATAAATTTATGCCTATCATCAATAGCAGTAATCTACTTTGCAATGTAAAAATTATTGTACTGAGAGTGAAACCACTTTGAAGAGCCTGGTAACATGGTTTCCTTTTGCCTCTCTCTCAGCACACAGCACTCCAGTGGACATGCCCAGCAGAGGACAGAACGAAGACAGGGACAGCGGCATTGCTCGATCAGGTATTCATACTGCCGTTGATGGGTTTTGCTAACAGAGTGGGCTGTCCACAATGGTCAGTAGCTGGGAAAATAGAAGATAGGCTTCATCTTCTTTTTTTTCCCTCCGTATTCTAAAGCCTTGCATGTTTGAAGATCTAGAACTTTGATGCTCAGCATCTAGTAGTAATTGTACAACATGGGCCAGTTTTTTCTAACATCCAAACTAATATGAGACTGATGTATTCTGAGACATTTCTTTTTAGAGGGAGGCTTCCTTGAGCCAGGTGTGCTGAGAATTTGCTTGCTGACTGTTGATTAGGAAATCAGAGGAAGGAAAGTGTGTGTGGAAGCACATGTACTCAGGACTAAGGGGGACTTACCAGCTGACTTGGTCACCCTGTCCCCTGTCCTCGCGTCGTGCGTTCGTGATTTTATCCCAGGGACACCTGTTCTCCTTACCTTAAGCCTTGACCTTTTCTAATGCTGCTTTTAAGATCTCTTGATTTCTGCTTTGGGACACAATTCTGCTCTTGATTTTGATTGTGGTTCTGATCTGAGGTAGAGTTTGTTCTATGAAAGAAAGGTAGGGAACTGATGGTCTGGAATTTGAGGACTTGGAGCTGTGTGGGGCTTTGCCTGATGAACGTACATTGGACCTGCAGCCTCTGCCTCCACAGAAGACTAGGAAGGGACACCCTGCTGGTGTCACCAGTGACGACACGCCCCCTCCACCCGCCAGGCCAGCCAGTCGGTGCTCGTATGTGCTACGACTGGGTCCAGACCTCGGATGCCTTTCCTCCTGACCATTCAGTCCTGTCTGCTTCCAGCTCTTGCCCTCGAAAGAGCTCGAAGAGGTCCTTGTGTGCCTTCTGGGTAGCACCAGCATCCTGTACCTTACTCGGTACAACTTTATTCCCAAGTTATTGAATGTAAATTGTTGCTGAGTCTCTCTGGTTTGTGTGTGTCACGTAATGTAAAGTACATAGCATTTCATTTATGGTTAAATAAACATAGTTGAGCCATTTTGCTCTACTTAAACTATTTGGAATTTTTCTGCATGGAAGATTTATCTATTCCCTTATCCATTCATTAATTAATTCAGTCAATCATTTATGTCAATATGGACTCATAGCTATATTATTTTGCACTTTGGGTTTTAACCCAATTCCACTTTATTTAGTCGCTCAAATTGTTTCATATTTGGCCACGGAAGCCATGAAGCTCCTGTGTTACTTTAACACACCCCATCAACATGTGTCTGTGTGTGGGGCCCCCATCAGTGTGTGCGTGACCTCCTGAGTGTGTGACCCTGTCATTGTGTGTGAGTGTGTATTCTGAGCACTTCCTTCCCTTCTGGCACTGCCAGGTGCTCCAGACTTGGCTTGTGGGTTTTCTGCTCCAGTGCTGGAATCAGCCATTTCTCACTGGAGCCCTGTGCTTTCATTGGAGAATGGTTTTGGGGTCTGAGATTTGGACACCAGATGTACTTAATGCTTTCTGGAGTGTCATTTCTTATAGGCCCTCTCAGCTGACAAGCAAAAAATAGGAGTTTATGCTAACTGTGTATAGACATGTGTATAAAATTGCTATCTGTAACATCTAGATCTATGTTAACTTAAAATGAGTTGGTACTGATATCTCCATTGTCAGTGACCCATTAACTTCCTTCCCTTGCTTATTTGTGAACTCCCACTCCAACCTCGGGAAACCTGGCTCCCACCATTTGCCGTCCGTTTGATTGGTTCACTTCAGTATGCACACGTAGCCATGTCAGAGTTGCTAACTCGTACCCCTGAAGGAAACGACTTTAGTGACTAGAGTACAGGCTCACGGGCAATTCCTTTTACCTTTAGTCTCACACGTCCACTCATCTCCAAAGTTACGTAGGTCAGCACCTTTCCAGATCGGGGAATTTTTGCAGCGACTTGTCCCAGCCCAGAGGAATCTCTGAGATCACAGCTGACACCTGCTTATCTTGCACCTGGCTTCCTGCATGCTACCAGAAACTCTGACTGCACAAGGCAGTTTTGAAGAATAATTTGCAGATTAAAACTTTTTTTCTCTCGATAGTCTAGTAAAGAAATAACTTTAGAAAAGATTTTTTTGTTGTTTGCTTTTTAAATCATTGCTTATAGGGAGACACAGTCCAGGATAAAAATAGGAATTTTAAAGGAGATTTTGCAGTTCTCCGTCAGAAAGAAACCAGAAGTTTTTTGTCCTGGCCTATCAGTTCCTTATCCCCTTCTGCAGGCAACCTCCAAAGGAGAGAATAGATGGAAGAACTTACTGCACGTTTATCTTCACCTTTAGTTATTATGCAACTTGTTCCGTGCAAAATATCCTCTGGGAATACAAAGAAACCACGTGGTGTTAAATTCTTAAACGAATTTACTCTGTTATTAGAGAACTAAATTATTTTTGTGGTTTCCCCTGTAAGACCAGTTTGATACAGTGAAATTAAGGGAGGAAGTAGGAAGGGTAGCACCAATTTCTGACTAGCCAGCCATCAAGCCACATTTGTTTGTTGAATAACAATTTTCCAGCCCCCCGTGTTGTTAAGCTGTACCAGTATTGGGGAGGCTTTTGAAGAAAATTAAAAGTACAGCATCTGCCCTCAGGAAGAGTTACATGTAAACCAGGACTTAAAATACAGTGGTTTTTCCAAATAAACTTATTTTCTTGAAAATAAAGTACAATGCAGTGTGGTAAGTACTACCTCGTAAACCACTGTGGGAACAAAGAGGAAGAGTAAGTGCCTTTGTCTGGGAAGTCAGACGATGGCCTCATGGGAAACATGGCATTTGAGCGACAGCTTGTAGGCGGAAAAGGACTTCACGGGAACTTAGGAAGAGAGCATTTCTGAAAACAGTTTGTGCAAGGGTGTGGGTTCTTGAGCACACCCCGTTAGTGTGCTGGCACACAGGGTTGGGGGTGTCGGGACGATGGAAGGTCAGGCCGGCTGTGGAAGGCCATTTGGAAGGTGCCGGTGCCAGGCTAAGGCATTTGGATTTAATCCTGTTAGCGGAGCAGCTGAGGGGTGTAGCCTGATTGCCCATATTTTAGATCCACGTGGTGCTTCACAAACTCTGCTCCAAGGAAAACTGGACCAATATGGTTATTGCTAAAATAGATTGTTGGCAATACTTTTTCATTTAGCAGTGGTGAAGTGGCTGAGGGGGATGGATAGTAGATTTTTTCCACATTAACTTTATTTCAGCATAATGTTTCCAGACTTATGGGGCTTCTTGCCACTGTGTGTGTGTATCACTAGTATAAAATGATTATCTGATTTAGCATACACTTCTGAAAAGTAGTCCATTTTTTTTTCCTCTTCAGCCCATTTTGGAATAGTATCTTAGAAAAATATACAACTTTCCCCCCACCCTGGGTTATCCAGTAGATTTTTGTAGTAACAGAGAGGAAAGAAAATCTTAATTCTGATCTACTCTTAATGCATTTTACTCCTTATAATAAATACCCCAGTGCCTATTCGCATAGTGAGTGACACGCACGGGATGGGGAACCGGAGCAGCGAAAAGATTGTCCAACTCACTCCCGTAACAAGTTATAAAGACTGTTTTTTAAAGATATGTCTCTCATAAAGGAATACACCAAAAATAAGCTCACAATAATTTTTACATTGTAATATTAGTGGTTCCTCAAAAGTCTTTGCCTTACTCCCTGAATTTTAAGAATGTAATATTCATAGACTTTTACTCATTATAAGTTTGAGAATCATTTTTCTAGGGTCATTGAGGAAGATGAGAAGTAGAACTGGGGGACGAGAAGAAGTATTGTTGCTTATCAGAAGATTGCAGGCAACCTAAATGTTCATCAGTGAGGACCGGCTGGAAGACATACTTCCCAGCAAAGGAATACCATGTGGCAATTAGAAGGATTAAGCCAGTTTAGCATGTGCCTTGAAATAGGAACGTTCTCTTAGGGTGTATTATTTATGTTTCCTAAAAAGACATATACAGGATCTCTCTTACTGCATGTAGAGATAAATAAGTACAATCACAATATATCTCTGGAAGGAAGGGATACGAGCCGGAGCAGGTATGGAGGGGAAATACATTCTCATTGAATCCTCTTTTGGATATTTTGAATGTGTCCTCTGTACATATATGAATCAGAAATATAAATTATTTTTAAGAGGTTCTTTTAGTGGTTGCCATTAGAAAATTTTCAAGTAAAGTCTTGGGAGAGAAGAAAGATGAGTTCCAGCCCTACCGGGGGTGAGGCTGGCAGGGCTCGTGCCAGATGGGGTGCGGGCGATGGTGGGGGGTGGGGACACAGGAGCTGGGCGACTCTCCAGCTTCTAACTCGGGGAAGGAAGCAGAGGGTGGCGCCGCTGGCTGGTTAGGGGAAAGCTGGAGGGCGTCTGAGGAGACGGATATTAAGATACTTTTTTATTAGAAGTGTCTGTATGTTCTCCAGCTGTGAGCAGTCAGGTGTCATTTAGAAATGGGAAGCTGGCTCCGAAAGAGGTGGGTTGGAGTGGAAGTGAACTTTGGAAATCTCGGGTGCACGAGTCGAGTGCGGTTCAGAGGACTAGGGTTGAGACCAGAGTCCCTGAGCCTTGTTAATACGTCACCTTAATTCACATTTAGATCCTCTTTCTCATCAGAATGTCCATGTCATCGACAAGAAAAATAATTTCCCCATTCTCTGTGCAACTTCATTTCCTCTGTTCTTAAAGGTAGTAAAATAAGCTGAAGATTAGTGTGAGTAAAACTTGTAACATGTACTTTCAAACGTTTGTATCGAAGGGTTTTACAGCGAACCTCCCTGGTAAGAAGGCAGGCCATCGCAGTGGTTAAATAGGCTGCGTTTGGGCCACCGTGCAGGGACAGGATGCCCCACACCCAGAATGTGGTTTGGGTATAAGGCCGGTGACAGCACATGCACACCCGGAGGATACGAGGGGATTCGTTACCCACAGAATGAGGCTTTCTGGTGCGAGCGAGTGGGCTTCCCAAGCTGGTCAGAAAATGACTTGGAAGATGGAAAGGAGACTGTTTTGGAGTTTTATGGTGGTTAGGGGGAGGACCAGGGTGAGGGGCCCTGCGTGTGGTATGAACTTCCCGCTGGCTCCGAAGGAAGGAGCACCCAGACTTTCTCATCTGCTTGCCCAGATATGGGGCAGCAGGAAGAAGGAAGAAGGTGGTGGTGAAGCTTAAAAGCTCTCAGCAGTGAAATATCAAGAAATGGAGGGCTCGTTGAGCAATACAAAGCAACATCCCATTTGTACCCGAACCCTTACTGACTTACCTGATACAGTGCTTTGCAGAGTTGCAGGAGTCGAGGAGTGCACTGCTCCCGATGGCCGTCAGTGCAGGGAGAAGTCCACGGCGCCCCGCTGACCTTGCACATGTCCGTGTGGGCAAAGGCTTGACCTTCCCCTTGTCTGAGTCTTGTCAGTACAACCTGTGCTCCTCAGGGGACACGAGAGAATGGGGAGCCTCTAAAGAGCTGCTAGGCGGTCCTCTGCCACTCACTTCTCCATCTCTCCTGGGCAGTTGACAGGAGACGGTTTCTCATCCTCTATGGGCTCCTGATGGATGCGATTCGGAGCTTTCTGCCCAGCCCCATCATACTAGATGTAAAGCTGCCTGGCTGGGTCCAGGATGGCTCCTCCCAGCAACAGGGGCTCCCACAAATTGTGTTGCCGGCATCCGACCCCTTTTGTGTCAGTGGTGGTCTTTTTGGTACGGGGGATGAGGATCAGTGGGCACTGGCACCTTTTCGCTGCTGCTGCTTCTCACCGTCTGATGAGCTGAGAAGTGATAAGCGCTCCACATCTAAACATGTCTTGTATCTTCACTGTCAACTCTTTACCTTGGCTTTTGCCTTGCTTTAAAAATATGCGAACTTGGCAACCTGTACTGTAGCTTGAGCAGAACTCAGTTTCTTCATTTCTTTGATTGCTTTTATTTCCAGGAAGACCTTTGGTCCTCTTCTGGAACGGATACTTATTTTCTTCTATCTCACAAATTTGTGGACTCTTTCACTTGAGCCTTTCCTTTCTAGACTTGCCACCATGATTTCAAAACACCTTAATTTTTAAAAAGAGACATTACATTTTAGAGTAGTTTTAGGTTCACAGCAAAACTGAGTGGAAAGTACAGAGATTTCCCATAAAGACCTCCTTCTGCCTCATGCATAGCCTCCCGCATTGTTAATGTCGCCACCCTCCATTGTTCAGGAATAAATGGGTGCTAGTTGCAGAGTCCTCCTTGAGCAGGAGGGTAGAGAGGAACATAAACAGTTTTAAAGTGGAAGTTAACCAGGTGCAAAATGTTAGCAGTAATCTGGTGGTGGGATTTTGGCTAATTTTCTGATTAGTGCACAAAACTGCAAAAGTCTCTGCAATCTGTACATGCATCAACATTTTTTTAATCATAAAAAGTTCTAAAAAGTGATACTAAAAATATTAAGGAGTGTTAGACATAGCACTTTTAAAGCTGAAATTGAGCCTATGAATAATTTAAAAGTCTCACATAATTGGGAGACTTTTTGCTTTACCAGCTCACTGAGCTGATGGGGAACATAGCTGGGCTTAACTCCTGTGCAGAAACCCCCCAGTGCCCCCTGGGGGCCGGGCCCCGGGGCACAGGTAGTGCGCACCAGCTGGGCAGAGCCCGGGCAGCTGTGTGTAGCACGCTCCTCAGGTGGACGGGGTGGGCAGCAGGGCTCCAGTGTTGCAGCACACTGCACTGCCTTTCGGACCGTGAGCCCCGCCAGCATCAAATGCACTCACATCGACCAAGCAGACAGCTGAATCCACCTCTTCTCGTGAAAAATGACAGTAGGTTGTGCACCAGAGTTAGGCCTGGTTTTGTATTTGAGAGTTGTAACTATCATTTTTCATACAAATCTTATTAAGTAATATTAAGATACTTTTGATGAGGAAATGCTGGATAGCTCCAAGCCAGCACTTTAGCTTAATATTTCGTTCATATGCCATAAAAATTCTTATTCAGCATTTTTAATGACGAGAGAAGGCATAAGTCTCTTCTCTTTTATTTCAGCTTTTTGCCTTTTCATGTCTCTATTATACAAGTCCTAGTTTCTCTTCGTAATTAGCTAATTAGCATTAACCATTTAGTACTCCAAAATGTCTTAATTAGTCCAGCTTTTCCAAGAACTGTCAGAGAGAGTGTGAATAGCTTATATTCACTGTGTGGGGCACTGTGCTAAACATTTTATATGGTTACTTTAATCCTCACAGGAATCTGAGGAAATAGGTCAGTGTTTTTTGAACTTTTCTTTTGTCTGCAACACATGCATCTTTATAGATGACAAATAAAAGTTCTACAAGTTAATATTGACACTGTATTATACTGTTTCCTTCCTTTTTCGATGTTTGTTCTGATGTACTAAACAGCTCATAGCTGAGACTCAGCACTTCATAGTCCCCACTGTACAGGTGAGGAAGCCGATAGGTTAAGTGGCCTATATCCAAGTGTCGCAGCTGGTAAGTCGCAGAGATGGGGTTTGAACCAGGAGCCTGAGCTCCTACCCAGTATAGTAAACTGAATTATAGAGCATAACAATTTCTAGAACAAATTGGACCTCAGGGGCGGCATCTCCATCTTGCTTCTGTGATGGGAAAAAGTGTTTATAAGTACTACCCTTCAGTTGTGTGCTTCACCTGCCAAGAGAAGCTGATTTGCTCAGCAGAACACACGCAGAGACAGGGGACCCTGAAGATTTGGGGGTAGGGAGCAAAGATCTTCGGATCTTATAGGGGACTTTGAGACCTTTGGGGGCGGGGCAGAAATGTCTAATAGGGATTTTTTTTATTGAGTAATTTTTTATGGCTTTGAGGAAAAGCTTTCTTCTATCTCCTTTAAAAATCCTCAGTAAAATTACCAACTCACTGATGTTTGAAATGTGGATTTGATTTTGGAGATTTAGGGAAGGCTTAAATCAAGGCTGAAACCAGGTCAGAACAGAGGCCACCTGCTGGGACCAGCCACATGTGGGTAACACTTTAGTGTAGAAGTGCTGTATATTCAGCAAACATTTATTAATCATCTGTTGTATTCAGGGCACTGTCCTGGGTACAGGGGTGCGAAGCATCCCATAGGCCTCGGCTGTGGAAAGAACCTTGAGTCATTATGTTTTGTGGCCTGGGAAGTTCACTGATGTTTTTCTAGACTCGAAGCTTCATGCAGGCCGATGTGTGTGTGTCCCTGATGCCTAGCACAACACCCAGCACATGGTAGACACTCAGCATTAGCTTATTGATTATTGGCTAATAGCCCAGTAACTCTTGCAGTGTTTAAGAACCGAGGTCAGAGAGTCAGGTTATTTCCATCTGCCTGTAAAAGCATAAGTAGAAATGTAACCGTCATTTGGAGAAACTGCTTTATCAACTGATATCTGGGAGCATATTGCCCTGTGGTTACTGAAGTCACTTTCCTTTGTTCAGTGATTTGCTTCTGAAAATGTTGACCAGCTATCTCTAACACCCCATTTCCTTTGCCACTGGACTGACACTTCGGTGTCTGTTTCCTTAGCCCTAGGGAAGTAAAGGGAGAAAGCCTGTCTCCTCCTTCCATTCTTCCAAATCATTAGACATCCGTCAAGCAGCTGTGATTTGAAAGAAACCCTTTGCCTCCCTTGGAGGGACCAGGCCCTCCCTGCCCAGGAGAGGAGTCTCGGCCGCAGGGCAGCTCACTCGGACTGCAAGCCCGGGTGCAGGCAGCTGATGTTCTTCTGTAGCAGGAGGAAGCAGAGAGAGGCTCGGAGGCAAATAGGTAACCCAAGGAGAAAACATGTAAGACTGAGACTAGAGGCTGTGGATGGGGGGACGGGTGGATAAATATTGTGTGTTTGGAGATAGAGAGCAGGGAAAAGGATATTATGTGGAGCAACCACTCATTTGTCTAGATTTCACCTCAAAATAGCGAGTGAAGAAGCAGTCAAGAGGAGGCAGTGTGTGTAAGTAAACATCATGCATGGAGTTGGTTACCAGGGTAGCGATATAAATGATTATGTTATCTGGGCCATTTAATGAGAAATCCTCTCTCTGCCCTCCGGCTGAATGAGTAATAATTACTCTGCATTTGTAATATGGGGCCTGGTAATTGATGCACTTGCTGGGTCTGTAATCCCTGTTTCTTTTAATTTGTTTTCTTTGCTGTACCTAAGTCTCTGTAAGAGAGAAGTTATGTCTCCCCCTGCTGGATATGACTGGTAGAACCTGAAAATTTAGGTTCCTTGGCACGTATTTTTTTATGTACCTACTCAGGACTCATTACCTCAACTTTTGATTTTTACCTTTTCCTCCCCACAGCCTCTCTAAGCAGCCTTTTGATTACACCTTTCCCATCACCAAGCTCGTCTGCGTCCTCTTCCAGCAGTTACCAGCGCCGCTGGCTTCGGAGTCAGACCACAAGTTTGGAAAACGGCATCATTCCCAGGAGGTGAGCTGCATGCAGGTCTCCTCCGGCTGAGAAGGGTACCCATGCAGGCAGCTGGATGGGACCACAGGACACTGTACTCGCCTGGTGTCAAGGGGACAAGGGAGCTGAAACTTTTTGATGAGCTTCAGGTTAGCATGAAAGTTCACAAGTTAGAAGCTTCCTGGAAAGAAGAAATAAAAACAATCACAAAATGCCTCCTGGTTTGGAAGACACTGGGGAATACCTGGGTGGTTGTGTTGTGTATAAGCTACATTTGCTGTTAATTTAGAATGAGTGTGCTCTATGTTTTAATTGGCTCCCTTTCAGGTGTGACTCTTGTACGTTAGGAGGGTAGAGTGAATCTCTTCCTTATGGGGACACCACTGTGACCTTTGAGAATTTATGAACTCAAGGATTGTGACTTACTTTCTTTGTAAAACTCAAATTCTTAAACAGTCATGAATTGGGTTATGAATAGGGGTGGCATTGAGATATCTTCTGCTTTCAGTTGATTTTTATTTTTAAAATTTTTAAATTGCAGTTGACATTCCGTATTATTTTACATTAGTTTTATGTGCACAGCATAGTGGTTAGAAATTTGTATAATTTACAAGGCAATTCCCCTAATAATTCTAGTACCCACTTGGCATGCTTTTAGATCTAAAGTTTAGTTAAAGTGTACACTTTTGGCTTATGCTGCTGTTACGTCAGAAGCCTGCAATCTCTTCTTTCTACAATCCAGAAACTCAGAAGGGAATTAAGATAGGTTGTGCCTATGAAAATCCACATGGAAATTGTTGGATTTAGTAAGTGAGTGGTAATTACCACGTGTAGGGAATCTGGGAAGGTGTAAATGTGATTTAGGTACTTGCCTGCATTTAGATAGTTTGAAGGTACACACCATGGATAGTGGTATAAGGACCTTAAATGATCAGTGCTATGGAGAGGCATTGAGTGCTTTGGGACTTGGAGAAGGGAGAGAGCACTTGCTGGTGGTTGTGGGGGAAACTGGGGGGTCTTTCATGAAAGACATGGTGCTGAAGTGATAAGCTGAGAAACCAGGATTCAAGGTGTACATATGGCACAGGGCAGGCTGCTTGTCTCTCCTCCTGTTGCTCTCAAGACAGTAGGGAGCAAGACCAAAAGTAAAAATCATGGCCGCATTACTCACTCACTGGAGATCTGCCTTTTGGTTGATGGACTTTGTGCAGAACGGTGAAGAGCTTGGCATTTGGTGTGGGGACACGTCCCAGCTCTGCCATGCACTAGATGAACGAGGTAGTCAGCTAGCCGGGGTTCCAAGTGCTGTTTCCTCACCTGCAGCGTAGCCGTCCTAGTGCCCGCCGCACCGCATTGTCAGGAAAGTTAAAAGGGACACAGCAAATCACGTCAGGCTGGCATGAGGTGCAGTGAGTAGAATGTTGGCCAGTCCTATTCCTATTGCCGTCCTTATCATTGCTACTGCTGCAGCTGCCAGGAGAAGGTGTCCCACCGTCCTCACGGTCATTGCGGCGACTTCTGCGGTTGGAAGAAATAGGTGGAGCTTAGAAGCCTTTGCCTTCAGACATCTTCCCTTGACTAAAAATGCTTTTCCATCCTTTCAGGTGTGAATCTGGAGTTGGGTAGCAATCTCCAACCCAGTCCTCCCAAACTCTTCAAAACCTGTCATTTGAATTGAGACCTGGCTTTGGGAATTAATGTATTTTTAGTGAACTCACACCTAAAATAGGTATCTTGGGCTCAAATGTGAAAGTGCTGGGTCCCTTGTTCAAAAAGCAGGAAAAAGTGCTGTTAAAGAGTACTAAAATGTAAAATTTTCCCTTTAAAAATATTTTACTTATATTACTACATGCAATAGGAATAATAGTGACATGTGAATAAAAACATAAATTGACCTGGTTGGTTTAGCTCAGTTGTTTGGGCATTGCCCTGTAGATCGAAGGGTCACAGGTTCAATGCCCGGTCAGGGCATATGCCTAGGCTGCAAGTTTGATCCCCAGTCAGGGTACAGCTGGTCAGTGTTTCTCTCTCACATTAATGTTTCCCTTTCTTTCTTCCTCCCTCCCTTCCCCTTTCTCTGGAAACAATAAAAGAAAAAAATGAATGATAACAAATTTATAAATTACAAAAAGTAATACTTCAATGTCACAATTTTATGTAATATAAGAAATAGTAATAATGCAGTACCTTCATTTATTGTAAGATTTCTCTGGCTCACTTTTCTGCAAGTTCATTTGTTTACATTATCAAAATTTATACATTAATTGATGTAATTTATACATCAGTTGATGTATAAGCAGTGTTAGTGACTCCTGGCAAATTCAAGATGGCAAATATTTTTGATAATTTTTTTTACTTGGAGAAAGATCTTTCTGCTGATGCAACTGTTCCTGGAGCTTTGTAGGTTATGACAGCATTGAGATACATTTCTGATTGACTTTCAAAATGTAAGTTTTTGTACATCTAGATCGGTTGATTCTTGTGGAATAGTTTTTCTAAAAAGATCTAATTCTTCACTCAAATCCATTTTGTGTAAGTCTGAATTTAATTTTAAATGTAAATTTATACAAGGTTATTTTAATCTTTCCTCTGACATTTCCCGTAACTTAGGGAAGTCTTAAACTGAAAGTGTCTTCATGAGTTGTATATAATTTAAAATGTTTTATGCATCCTATCACTGCATCTTCAACTGTATGGAAAAATTAGTTTCATGCTGAGCTTCCTTGTTAATAATTTCTTCATCTGAAGCTTCATATGAAAATAGCAGGGGTTTCTGTCCAGTGCATCAGTCTTTACATTTACATTCTATTTCTGTGCCTCTGGATATGTGATTTACAACGTTGATACAGTTTTCAAAACCAGAGATTATAAACTCTGAAGAATTCCAGTAACTTCCTGATATGCTTTTTTGCAGTGTGCACTCTAGGCTCTTGCTCTGGAGTATTTACTGCCCTGGGGCTCAGGTCTGAGAGCTCAGTGTTGGTGCAGAGTGCATAGGGTCAGCCCTGATGATGGATGGACAAGCCGGCCTCCCACCGTGGGTCACAGCCCTGGCCAAGTCTTTCCCCTTGCTCACAGTCGTGACCGCTTCTGCTGCTGCTGTCACCATCACCAATCTGGGCCCAGGTCTCAGCCTTGCCAAGTTGGGGGCCTTGTGGCACCCTGGATCATTCAGACACGTGGGCGTGTGCCTGACCACCAGGCCAGTTACTCATCGTCTGGGTTGCATGCCCTGGGGCATGACTGCCACCTGCTCCGTAGTCTGGTACCTTTACCGCTCACACACATGCTTCGTTGTCCATCAGACTTCCCTTACAAGTTCAATAATAAAATTATTAAGAATTCAAGGTAGCAACTGCAGAACATTAAACCAAACCTGGGGTCTTCCCAGGGCAGGCAGGGCTCCCTGTTGAGTGGATGCCTGCCTGTGGAGTGGGCGTGGAGTCAGTACTACTTGTCACTGAGAATGTAAGCACCAAGGACATTTAGAGTCGATCCCTGTGCCTGTGAAGATCCTTTCACTGAAAGGCTATGCAAGTGTGTGGGTGGGAAAATTAATGTCTTGTGCTAGACAGAACAGTGGGTACCAGAAATGTGATTGCCTCTGGCTTTGAGAGAAAATTCACAATAGTCAAAAAACGTTTTTGCTAAGAGAGTTAAAGGTAGACAGGGAGGATATTCCCAATCTTAGCTCGTAGTTCCACATTGACACCCGTGCCTCAAGGCCCCCTGCTGTGCCCAGTGGTGAACTTCAGTTCCTGGGTGGGGAGTCAGGCTGAGCAGTTAGCAGTTGGGACTGCCCCGGCGGTGGGGGGCGGAGCTGCAGAGCCTTCATCCCTTAGTGAGGCTGTTGATACCCTGAAGGAGCAAGGTATAATGTCCCAGAAAAGCTTTTGACTTGAATGATTAATGATTTGACTTTGTGTGGAACCGACCATATAAAGTTGCTGATGGGATCTTCTTTGACCCACAGTAATGGAGTTTTCATATGTTCTGAGGTGCCCATAGATTCAGCATAAGTCCAAAGTTGATATCAACAATTAGACCAGGCAGCCCTGATACCTAGTACAGATCACTGAGATGCACTTAAATGATCAGAGTTTTGGCTCTTTTTGTGACCTTGAGGTACTCATAATGTTTGTAAATGCTTATGTCAACAAGATGCTTCATGATTTTTTTACGAGGAGAACAAGTTAAGTGGGTGGCGGTGGTCTTTCCCTGACCCAGAGGCCCATCACCTGAGGCGACTACGCCCAGCTCTCCCTGGTGCCCAGCTCTCCCTGGTGCTCCCGCTGGCAGGGCACCTCCCGCGGCCCAGGCAGCAGCAGACAGATCGGGCGTCGGGCGGGGCCCCTGGTCGTTTCCAGTGTCCGAGGAATGAGCCCGACCTAGAAGACAGACAGACCCTGGGTTCTAATCCAGCGTTGTCCCTAACAGGTTTTCTGTTCCTAAAGCAAGTTGATGAATCCCTGTGCCTCAGCTTCTGCATTTGCAGAAATGATCTGTGACACCTTACCTGGAGGTGGCTAAGGGTAATATAAGGGTAAGGGTAATATAAGGGTAAGATAAGATCAAGTATTTGGGTGCACACCTGAATTAGTTATGTATTTGTGTATATATATATGTATGTATGTATTATTTATCCTTGTTCAAGGATATGTTTACTGATTTTAGAAAGGGGGAGGAAGGGAGGAAGAGGAGGAGAGAAACATCAATGTGGGGGAGAAACGATAATGGGTTGCCCCCTGTGCGAGCCCCAGCCTGGACCAACCCAAAACCTTGGCATGTGCCCTCGCTGTGCATTGAGCCCACCACCTTTCAGTTTATGGGACAGTGGCTCCTACCAATTGAGTCACGCTGGCCTGGGCGATGCCTGAATTTTTAAAAATACTTGGAAACATAACCTTTATTGTGGAATAATTCTTAAAATATAATTATAGTACCACATGTCCTGATTTGTTCTAGTTTAAATGGTTGGTCCAAGACTACAGAATGAAGCTCAGTTGCTTTAGAATTCAGTAGAGAGATAACAGTGAAGCAAGTAAGAGCTACCCACACTGTGACCGCTGTGGGAGTTTTTCAGAAATTCAGTAGGGGGCGCTCTCTGCTACATTAAAGTGGAGGTGGTCATTGTTTACAGGGTAGAGATGAAGATGATACATAAATCTGCATAGGGTTCAGTGTTTATTGCAATTTGATTATTAAAGACCACATTGGCCAAAGACGAATGGGCTGATATGGTCATTTTGCTTTTGACAAAGAAGGGAAATAGGAAGTAGACAAAAAAGGGTTGCAAGGAAGTGCTGGTATCTAATGAGCTCAGAATGTCCGGTACAGAGTAGAAATAAACTGGTGTAGGAAAACAAATTATAGTACAGGTACGGCGTAAAAGAAGAGGGAGCACTGTGTGCAATTAAGTAAAATTCTAAGAGCCTCAAGGATTTTTTCCTGGCGAGCAGAGATCATTAGGATCTGGAAATTTCTAGGAGAAAACAGGGGATGGTTTATTGTGATGCGTCACATGTACGACAGCACCTGAGGATCGTGTCCTTCCAGAGGCACTGCTGCTAGTGAGGGTCTTTACTGACGTGTCAACCACGCCCGCCTCTCCGGCTCCTTGCTTCAAATCAGGAGAAACGAGAACACGTTTCTCTGAGGTTAGAACAAGATGTCTGTCTCCTGTCCTTTAAACATAAAATAGCTTTCCTTACCATAAACCTTTTGATGTAATGTATGTTTTTGAACATGTGGGTATACTTGAAATCACAAGCTTATTGGAAGACCATGAATAGAGCACTAAATAAGAAATTTAAGGCCAAGAGGAGGAGTCTAACTGCCTCACATTCTGCAAAGCACGAGTAATTGCCATGTTGTAATTTGTAGTCAAGGAAGTGGAGGGAGTGGCGTCCTGCTGTACTTGGCAGGGAGACGAGTGTAACTGGTGGAGTCAGTGCGTAAGAGAAAGCTTACTGTGTAACTGTTGATACCGTGTGCCCAGCTAGGTGCTTTCATTTGCAGTGTGATGTCCGTGGCTTTGATTTCTTTTTAGAAAAAAAACAAATTTGTTTATTTTCACTCTTGCTGTTCATAGCTAATGTGACTATTGTGCTGGTTTTTTCAGAACAGTTAAATGAAAGACATGGTCGGCCCATGTTTGTGAGGCTTAGTGATAACGGGGATACATGGTAATGGGAAAAAACAAATTGAATATATATTAAGGATTTATTGGCTTCTTGATTCTCTTGTCACAGAAGCAGAGTCCCTCCAAAGAATCTTAAGTTTGTTGAGAACTTGCCTAGGCCAGGAGAGAGGTGGACCTTTGGGTTTGGGGGGTTGCCCGGAGAGCTAAATCAGCCTCATGGCCTCATCTGAGCACTTACAGGAGTAACTTCATCTAATTTGAATAGCCCTGGGAAAGGGAACCTCAACTGCCTGTAAAGAGTCAAAGTATGATCCTTGGTGAAATGGAATACCACATGGGATCCTTTCTCTTCCCACCCTCTCATCCACTGGTGTCTGTCAACCAGAGAACAAAGGGCCCATGTTCTGAGTGAACAGGTACTTCACACCTTTTCGCGAACACCACCAACCTGATCCAAAATGGTCCAAGGGAAAAGGACCAGGAGTCTAACAAGGGGACAATGGAAATTACTCTCAGTTTCTAAGTTTTCTTTCACGTTAGGATAGTAAGGGGTTGTAAGCTGATATTTTCATTTTTCATGACACAATTATTGGAGAGACCGAGTTAGAGGTAGGTCAGCTCCCAGATGAGACTCTCGAGTGTTCTGGGTCAGCATCTCACCGTCGTCCCCTCACGTCAGAGCTCATCTCCCGTGTGACTCACTGATGCAGCTCTTCAAACTGGTTTCCCTCCAGGTCAACTGATGAGACGTTCAGCTTGGCTGAAGAAACCTGTAGTTCTAATCCTGCCATAGTGCGGAGGAAGAAAATTGCCATCAGCATCATCTTTTCCCTGTGTGAGAAAGAAGAGGCCCAGAGGGATTTCCAGGACTTCTTTTTTTCTCATTTCCCCCTGTTTGAGTCTCACATGAACAGGCTGAAGAGTGCAATTGAAAAGGTAATAAGGGGCTAATCTTACTCAAATAGTGAAGTGATTATGGGTCTTGGAAGATGGTCAAGTCTCTTTGTTGAGGTACCAGATCACTTACTTTCCTAGAGAACGTAGATCATCTGCAGCAGCGATGGGTCCTTTGGCACATTGGTGTCATACATCAGACGCTGCGTGGCTTTAGGAGAGGAGTCGACTGCTTCCCGATGACTTAGGCGTCACTGCCTTGAGTGTTTTGATTATAAAGCCCAGCAGCTAGTTAATACAGCAGTGTCTTCGCCGAGAGTGATTTGGTTTGTTTCTTTTCAACGAAGGCCATGATCTACTGTCGGAAGATAGCAGAATCAAGTCTCCGTGTCCAGTTTTACGTAAGCCGTCTGATGGAAGCCCTGGGAGAATTCAGGTAAATACGCAGTTTGTCAAATCCAACAAATCGGTGAGAGGCAGTAGCAGCGGCAGCCATGGACCTAGGGCAGCAGAGCCCGTGACTTGGAATCGCTGGGGGCTGGCAGTGACTAGTCGCTCCAGCAGCCCTTTCCTTGGAGATGGAAACAGATCAAAGAAGTAAAAAATCTAAGTCGCACAGCACAAAGTACTCCTCACTACTGCCTGACAGACAGTCCTCAATATGATTTTTGTTTTTTTTAACAGAGTAAATGGAGAAAACTAATATTCTAGTGTCTGTTATAAGCCTGTTCACATTTGATACCATCCTCACAAAAGCCCGAACAGCAGGCACTGTGGCCCATTGTATGCACGTGTAACCTTGAGTTCAGGGGTGCTCGTCCAAAACATGGATGGAGAGGGCATGTGTGTCAGGGAGGCACACATTCCCGCTTGCCGGGACAGTCCTGGTTTATGCCCAGTGTCCTCCCAAAGATGTCCTGCTCTGGACATTCAATCACATCACCACTCTAGTGTGTCTTCATTGTTAACTTCTAAGTAATGATTTTTGTACTCAGGATACTAGTTTTCTAGCGTCCTTGCCCTAATGTCTGGGTGGAGAGGCGACCTGCTTTGGGTAGCAGGTGGGAATCTCTTCCGCCACGCTGAGCTGGGACTGTCACACCATTTCTCAGAGCCACCTTCTCGAAGGGGAAGGGATCCCACTCCAAAGCAGTCGGGGGCTAATGAGTCAAACTCTTACTCTGTAGCTGAGGAATAAAAAGTTGTACAGTTCTTATTGTTAGAACATTTTTGTGATGCTTAAAGTATATGCTGGTGAACTCTATAAAACCACTTGGAGGAGCAAAATCCTGGGTTATGTATAAAGTACACAAGTAATATCTTAGTCATTACCTGGTGATAGCTAAGACCTAAGCCATATATGTCAGAAATAGGTAGTGTGAAGTGCTTTTTGCTGACAGTCTGATGATTAGTAAACTTTCTACAGTTTGTGAGGATAGCACTGAACTTGCTGTTGCTCTGTTGTGGTCAGACTGGAAGCTGACTTGTACTTGAGAGTCTGTACTTGAGATTGCTAGTTGATGAGAGTATCCATTTTTCAGATGTCAAGAATCTGGAAGTATAGAACCAGAAGGCCTCACTGCAGTGTACATAGAGTTGTTCTTCACACTTCAACTGCCTGTCCCCACAGGAATGGGGACAGAATAAAGCACTAGCATTTGGAGACCTTAGTTTTGGTAAATGAATCCCAGTTCCATGTGACCATAATTTTTCATTGCTGCCTAAGTTGGCGGATGATGTGTTTTTTGCCAAAGTAGAATTCTGTTGTGTTCAATTGTTTTATGCACACGGCTAGAAAATCAAGTCAGCAAATGTCTCATCTGTTTTGATTTTGGAAGAGTGGAGGAGGTACCAGTGGAGGGGCTGAGCTAAGTCAGTGTGCTCTTAGGAAAACACACAAGTCGTGTAGTTTGGAGTGGAGCTCTCGGGAGAGCTGGGTGACCTGTGTTCTCATTCTGACCTTGTTGTTCAGTATCTGCGTATCTCGTGCCAGTAACATTTCTCTAGTGCTCGTTTCTTCATGTGTGAAGTGACAGAACTAAACTAGGGAGTTTCTGTAATAGCTTATTACAGTTCTACAAATTAGATTCTGTTAGTCCATATGGAAACGTAGTAGATAGGACAGTGAAGGGCCATTTATGTAGTTCTTCCATCTGAAATGAGTAGGGTGCTTTGGTTGAGGGAGTTACTGCACTAACCAGAAATCAGAAGAGTCATGCTGCCCCAGTCACATTTTTAGTATAAAATATACTTTATTTCTTCCTTCACTAATTTCTTCACTATGAAAATAGGCATAACTCCTGACTGAAGGCATTAAGGAAATAAATTGCTTTAAAATGAATATTTTATGTCAAGGGTTGGTGCACCTTTTCTGTAAAGGGTCTCTGTTACAGCTGTTCAACTTCGTCATTGTGCGAAAGCAGCGATGTGTGCGTGAACGAGCATGACTGTGCTCCAGTAAAACCTTACTGACAGAAACGGTGGCGGTCAGATTGGGCCCGTGGGCCGTAGTGTGCAGACTCCTGTTCCGTGCCCTGCATGAGTCCCTTGAGTCCAACATAGATTCACGTTACTGTTGTCTCCTTTATTCCTTTATGTAAAGATTACCCGAAATAATGTTTGTGACAGTGTCGTGTATCCCTCGTCTTTTCACAGAGAGACTATCTGGAACTTGTATTCTGTCCCAAGGATAGCGGAACCCGTGTGGCTTACCATGATGTCCAGCACTTTGGAGAAAACGCAGCTCTGCCAGCGCTTTCTCAAGGAGTTTACGTTTCTGATAGAACAGATCAACAAAAACCAGTAAGCTTCAGCTCTCTGGAGCGTGGCGTGCATGGTCCCTGGCCAGTGTGTGTTCTGTATGTGACATGCCTCTTCTTGCAGTGACTCACCTGGCTGTACTTTCTTCCCTTTCTCGAAGGTTTTTTGCTGCCTTGCTGACCGCGGTGCTGACCTACCACCTGGCCTGGGTGCCGACCGTCATGCCCGTCGATCACCCTCCCGTTAGAGCCTTCTCGGAGAAACGCACTTCCCAGTCAGTGAGCTCGCTGGCCCGAACACACCCGTACAACCCTCTCTGGGCACAGCTGGGTCAGTGCCCGATGGCATCATTCTGCGGCTATATGGGACGGGGCTGGGAAAATGCTAGAATTTGTAGTTGGTGTTCACTGTCTAACCCAGTGACACAAGGAAAAGGCGTTGGCCCACAGATTTCTAGTTGTAAGGCTGCCACTTTCCTCTCTTTTCTCTGCCTGCAGCTTCATTCGACTCTTGTAAAGGTGTGTAGGTAAATTGTGCTCTGCCATACAATGTAGCAAATGATCCTGGAGCAAGGCTTTTAATGTCTGCATTGTCGACACTTGGACCAGATAACTCTTTGTTGGGTGGGGCACCGTCTTGTGTACTGTAGGATGTTTACAGCATCACGGACACTCGTTCCCTAGCTGCCAGTGGAACTCCCCCCACCCCTGAAGTGGTGACAATCAAAAATTTCTCTAGACATTGCCCAGTGTCCCCTGGGCAGGAGGTAAGACACCCCCTGGCTGAGAACCTTACAGGATGGACTGGGTAGGAGAAGAATAAGACAAAAAAGAAAGTAGCATGGTATAATTTCACCACCTTTAAATTTTAGCTTGAGTCTGGAGTCTGACCTCTCTCTGCACTGCTTTCTTGCAGTTAGTTGATGGCGTTTTTCCCTCAAATCTTTATACTGAGACACGGTATAGGAATCTAATGCTTTGGCCTAGTTGGGTACAGAGTTTCGGGTTTCTGAGACCAATTTTGCATGTTTGGGGTCATGTGGATGAGAGGTGTGCTCTAGGTCCTCGTTTGTCGAACGTTTGGAGCGACAAAGTAAAACGGGCACACTCGCTCTGCCCCGGCCCGTGTCAGACGCCCAGAGGCAGACCCGAACAGCACGCACTGCTTAGCCTCCGGAAACTGTCCCGCCCAACAGAGGAGGCCGGCTTGTGTTCAGATGACTTCAGGACCTCCCGAGTGAGTCGTCCTGTGACAGGGACATGCAGAAAGGATGCGGGAGAGAGAGACTGTAAAGTGCAGAGGCTGAGAGCAGGGGCGCCAGCGCCAGAACTGCCTGGATCGGATCCAGTGCCCGTGGGCAAGCGACCTAACCTCCCTGTGCCTCAGTCTCTTCATCTGTAAAACGGGTAGGAAATAGTTCACGGTGACTGTGGGAATTCAGTTAGTTATATATAAAGCACCTTTGTTACTGGCGTGCTGATGAAAATATTAATGTTGGAGGGTCACCGAGAGGTAAAGTGAGAGGAGGGAGGAGGGGGTGCTCAAAGAAGGTATATTTGAGGAAATGTTAAAATGGCATTTTCCAGAAAACAAATCACAGGCCGAGAAAAAGCACTGCTTCCCATTTGAAATTTAACTAATTGAGAGCTGTTAATTTCCTTTGTTCAGCTTAAGAAGGAAAAGTCCCTTCCTGTGGGCTCACAGTCCCTTTTCAACAGAGATCATGTATTATTGAGTCTCCCGTGGTCCACTCCCCCAGCAGTCCTCAGTGTCTGGCTGTTGACAAAGTGGTGTGAGGAGGGGAGGAGGCCCTGGGGCAGAGCCACGCCATAGCTTTATAAAGCCAAGTGTAAGTGACAGTTGAGTTTCCATTATTACAAAAAATTGAGGGGGTTCAATAATTTGACAGGGGAAGATGCTCATGTCCAAGTTATTTTCATTAACTATTTACCAAGTCACAGTACACAGAAAAATATAAATTACTGAGAATGTACACTGATGCAGATATAATTTTAGTCCAGGTTCCTAAGTAATGGAAAAGATTCTACGTATCTTGAATTATTTCACAGGTGTATCTGAGAGCTGGCCAGGACAGGTACCACAGTGCCCACTTCTGCGTGGGCTCTCAGCATTCCCGGGGAAACGGGGAGCGAAGCCGGGAGCAGTGCTCCCTTCGCATCCCCCTGGGCTTGCTGCTCAGGAGCTGCCCTCCCCACCTGTGCCCAATACATGCTCTCTACATCCGGGTTTCCAAAGGGTGGCTAAGCACCCACTAGTGGGTTGTGGAAGCCGCTGAGTAGGTCAAAAGAGCATTTAAAATGTACGATAGAATAGAAAATACCAGAGTGACACATTGGTGTTTTGTAAAATGTCGCAGAGGAAGTATGAGGGTGCAGTCTAAAAAGTGTTTCTTTCTTGGGAAGGGTGTACAAAGTGTGAAAACCACTGTCTTTCGCCACTGATCGAAGGGGTCCCGTGGGTGTCTGTCTGACCCTAATGACCTCAAAGATTTGTGGAAGTGAAAAGTAGCTTTTCTCCTTGGAAAAAAAAAAAGGTTTGTGATTAATGGTATCAATTAATATGAGTAAAAGAGTCTGAAATTTCTTCATTTTTTTCTCCAGAAACTTAAATTGTGTGTTTCAGAATGCAGTGGAATTAGAGTATAAATCAATAAAATATATAAGGAGAAAATTCCTGCTTACTCAGAAATTAAACAGCCATATCTAAATAACCCATAAACCAACCCATAACCCACTTCTCTTGTGAGTACTTCACAAGAGAAGTTACAAAATAGTTTGAAATAAATGATAATAAAGATACAATAAATAACAATGTTTAGCATTAGGGCAACAGTGTTTAAAAAGGACTTCATAGCAGATACACGTGTTAAAAAGTACTCAGTGAGTAAGTGGTCCTTTAAGACACTTAGTTTCTCTCTTTATCTCCTTTTCAATTTTCTGTGTGTCCCTCTGTCCACCTTTGTTTTGGGGTCTCCATGCCACCCACTCTCACCCTCTCAGTTTCCCATCCCCGTGATAATGCTGCTGAATTCACTCAGCCTCTCCCCGCATTTTCTCCCTGGTTCTTGCTCTTGCCCGTCTCTACTTTCTGTTTCTGTCTTTTCAGTTTCCCTCATTATCTTCTTTCTTCCCTCTGCCTTGGTGTTCCCTTTTCCGGCGAGTGCTTTGCCCTCTCTGCTTCCCTCCGCTCTGTTCCAGCCTCTGGGCTTCCCTCTGGTCTTGTGTTTGTTCTCCATGTCCCCACTTGTCCTTTCCCTGATCTCTCTCGTTCCCTGTGCACACCCCTCCCTGCTTCTGCGCACTCTCCGCCTTTGGTTTCTGTTTCACCTGCAGACACTCTTTCTGCCCACGCCTCCCTTTTTTTTCTGTCCTTCTCCCATTGTCTCTCTTTCCCTTAAATTGAAGTTTGTATTTTAAATTATGCTTTAAAAAGAAGCACAGAACATGACATTTATCGTCTTAACCATTTCTAAGTATAACAGTTCAGGAGTGTTAAGTCTGTTCACATGGTTGTGCAGCCTGCCTTCATTTCGCAAAATTCCATCAGGAGAACAGTGGAACCTCCTCTAAAATGAGTGGTGTCCTCAGTCCGGGACTCGAACAATTGCCCTCGAGTTCAAGGTCCAGTAAATCGTTCATGTTGCAGGTCTGTGATTGTAATAACGCATTATTTATATGAAGTTTGGCCCTAAAGCAATGGCAGGATCCACATACATTGCTCTCATTATTTTATGGAGTTTAAATGATTATAGATTATTTTTTACTAGCTGTCTTTGTTTTATTTTTTTCCACTTATGATTTTGTTATTAAAATGTTATATGCGTTAAGAACAGGTATTGTCATTCTGAGTGGCTTTTCCTCTGTGACGACTTTCCTGTACCAGATTTTGGCTGTGTAATGCTCATCTTCTTTATTAACGTGGAGACCGGCATGGCAAGTGTCCCATGAACGCCTGATGGGGCTGTGACGCCTGCAGCAGTGGGCGGTGTGACCCCGGGGAAGGGGCAATGCTACGTGCTTAGTCATGATCGTTCTCTCAAACAGCCGTGCTTGTCCTAGCCTCAGACAACAATTCTGGGTTACTGTTGAACTCTTGGGTGATTTCTCAGTCAGTTGCAAAAGCCTTAGAAATGAAGCTCTATTAGCCTATCATCTAGTCCTTATAGAGAAGGTTAACATCATTTCTGTCCTGTGCTTTGAGTTCTTAGGGGCAGTAGCCTTCCACTAAGTGTTCCGCAGAGGAAGTACTTCCTGATGGTTCCCAGAAATTTTCCCTCTGTCGTAATCTGTCAATTTAACTTGTTTTATCTACTCTGTGCCCTTATTTTAATGCCTTTCCTCCTCTCTCTCGAGGCACTCCTCAGATGGGTTCTGACTTCTTGAGTTCTTACTTGTAGCAATTACCATGTTTCTCCTCTTTTTTTATTTAGTGTCTCTTCAAGCTCTGGTTTATTTCCAACATCTTGATGATTCCTGTACCGGTGTCTGATTCAGGGTTGGGTGTACAGAGATGGGAAGGAGGTACATCCGTGTCAGGCAGCCCTGCACCTGCACGGGCTGCGAACATTGGCTTGTCGCTGTCGCTGTCCTTCTCGTTGAAGTATCAAGTAACTAACTTACCAAATGCAGTAGTTTTAACAGTTGGGTACTTGACCAAGACTTCTGACAAAAAGCTTATACTGCTGGGTTCGTGGACACATTTGCCCTTCTTCTACCTTTGAGCCAAATGTCAGTGGTTCATTAGCGAGCTTTTCATCAGCTTGTCAGGATATAACTCACAGAACACTTTTTTTTTTTACTCCAGTAGAATTTTCATGTGAAGTAATAGAAGTATTCAGATTCATTTATATTCAGAATCTTATTATTCATGACTAAGTACTTTTCTTCTTGTTAATCAAATTGATTCTACTCAGTGCTTATTTGTATATTGAGATAATTCTGAACAGGACATTTCATTAAGTATTTTGCATCGATTCACTGCCCTTTGGTTCAGAGACCCCTGAATCGGGATTTTACCCGAAGGCCTGTTCTGTTGCCCAGGACTTCTAAAACGTCTCATTATCCTAGTTTCCATGATGCGGTACTCGATTTGGTCACATACTCAGGGCTCTGGCTTCAGCCTTCCTTCGGTGGTGGGGTGGGAGGGGCCCGCCGTTGAACTGTGCGGGCAGACTTCAGAGGGGCTGTGTGAACTGCACTGTCCCCCCGTCCCGAGAGCAGTGGGCCGAGGCCATGCCAGGCCTTTCCGGACACACCATCCACCAGAGAGGCAAAAGTAAAACCAGTCATTGCTAGGAATTACCTCTCTGCCTCAGTCATTTGTGTGAAGAAGCAGTTCTAGTGTGGGACTCTTAAGTCACCTGCTTGGGACCATAAGTCATCTGTTTTTCTCTTGTAAAAGCTGACATATCCAAGGCATGCTCACCCCACACGGCTTTGTCTTTGTGTCCATTCTGCTCTGCAGGTGATCTCTACGGGGCCATCGGCTCTCCAGTGAGGCTGACGCGCACCGTGGTGGTGGGGAAGCAGAAGGACTTGGTCCAGCGCATACTTTATGTCCTGACCTACTTTCTCCGTTGCTCTGAGCTGCAAGAGAACCAGCTGACCTGGAGCGGGAATCCCGGAGAAGGGGAGCAGGTGTTAAATGGGAGCAACATCACGACAGCCTTGGAGAGGGGAGAGGTGGAGGAGTCCGAGTACGTGGTCGTCACGGTGAGAAGTGAGCCCGCCCTCCTCCCTCCCATCCTGCCACTCACCAAGGCTGAAGGAAGGAGCCCCGGGCCTGAGGGCTCGGCTCGGACCCCCGAGGACAGTGACGCCGGAGACCTGTGTCCCAAAGCTGACAAGGAAAAAAACAAGTGTTCTGCGGCCTGCAGTCCAGGACACCAGGACCCAGCCCTGGACGACTCTTGGAAACCTCAGGATGCGTTTTGTAGGGAGGAGGAAAGTGAAAATGAGGTCCCACAGGATGGCTGTTCCCGGCTCTCCAGCTGTGACAGTTTGGGGGCCGGACTGAAGATCACTGAGGAGTGGAAAAGGGAGACGCATAAGAAGCTACCAGACCGGTCAGCAGCCCGGCCCTGCCCGGACAGACTTTCCTGGGAGAAGCCGCCCTTAGAAAAGGTCACCTTCCAGATTGGAAGCTCCGCATCTCCAGAGTCTGACTTTGAAAGCCGCACCCGAAGAGTGGAGGAGCGGCTAAAGGCCTTCAGACAGCACCCAGAGTTAGCCAGTGGCCCTTTGGCTGAGCCCAGGGTGGCCGCTGACGTGGCTCAGGACCAGCAGGTTTCTAGGTGCTCCTTCCCGCCTGGCTTCCCACAGAATGCCCGCCGTGCTCAGAGGCAGTCATCGGACGGGGGTGAAGGTGAATTTGACAGGGGTTACGCTGAGGACAGAGGCATCAGAACCAGAGCTGCGGCAGATGCTGCCGGGCAGCCTGACCCCGCAGCTGACTCACGCGTACCTAATGCCAGTGCGGCCGGGACTGGACTGGAAACCCTGGAGACAAGCAGAGGTTTGTGCTCAAAGGATGAGGAGGGACCTCTGGCAGAGCCCGGCAGGTGTGTGCAGCAGGACTCGGGCTTCTCAGTTGCTGCAGATGTCCCCTGTGGGGATGCCGACGGCCCGGGCGACTTCAGGACTGAAGGAGACATTCCCAGAAATGAAAGCTCTGATAGTGCGCTCGGAGACAGCGACGACGAAGCGTGTGCTTCAGCCACACTGAATCTAGGCCACAGCAGTGACTGCACCGAAGGGGCCTTGGAAGTGGAGCTGCCTCTGCCCAGGTAATGCTGGCCGGCAGGGACACAGGGCCCTGGGTTCAGAGGTGGCCGTGGTCATGTTAGCTGCTGTTGGTTGTTTCACATATAACAGGCTTTTTTCCTTGAAGTAGTAGAAGTGTTATGAAACTGATACTGTTTCCAGCCGGCCCCTTCTCCAAGGAGACCACTGGCTGAGTGCACCTGAGCTCTCAGTGAGGAGGCAAGTGGGTGCCTTTGTGACGACCGTGACATTTTTGGGGAGTTTAGGGGGTATGGTGGAGGTGTTGGGGGGAGCGGGGTTTTAATGTTCTGTCATCTGGATGGAGCCACGCCGCTGGTAGCAGATGCCTGACTTCAGAGGAGGTGGATTGCACTCACCGGGCAGCTGCTCCCCCACCGGTCGGAGCAGCGTGAAGCGGCTGGGAAACACCACTCCCCCCTTAACACTCCGTCAGGTTCATGATTTGGCCTGTGATGACTGAAGGCACTAATTAGAGACTTCTTCTGTTCTGCGGCCCTGTTGTGGGCGCCACCCTGTGCAGATGTGTCGAGTTCCTGAAGCCAGACTTGGCACGCTCCCCTCGCTAGACTTTCTCTTTCTTCACTCCCTTGACACAGCCTGCCTGGCGGGCGTTCCATGCGATACAAGAACGCACTCGTAACCAGCCATCACTATACTGTTTTCTTCCTGCTACCTTTGGGGAAAAACCAACAATCTTCTCTTGCTCCTCCAGTCCCCTCCCTCATTCCATGCCGATGATCCCCTTACTGGAGGATTGGTGAGGTGCCCCCCCCCCCCCGAATCTGACCCGTGTCATTGGGGTTTTGTTCCAGCTGTAACACAAGAAGGGAGTCCTTTTAAATGTGTATTCTAACACACTGATACTGTTTTAGGTCTCAGAGCATCAGCAACCCAAACGTAAGAAACTTCGGCCGCTCCCTTCTGGCGGGTTACTGCCCCACATACATGCCCGATCTGGTGCTCCACGGGACCGGCAGCGATGAGAAGCTGAAGCAGTGCCTGGTAGCTGACCTGGTGCACACGGTCCATGTAAGTGATCCCAGCTTGACGCCCTGGCCGCTGACCGTGTGTCAGCCAGGGTCCTGGCCAGCCACAGGTGTGTTGGCTGTCCTAGACTGAAGAGTGTGCAACGAAGGCTTGTTTACAGAGACATGGGCAGGGTTGCAGGGACCAATCAGGGTTGAAGAAGCACCCAGGGATTAGCAGCAGCTGAGCTGGGCCCTAAAGAGTAGGGGCATGAGCAGCGCGAGCAGAGCTGGAACACACAGAGGGGCTGCGTGGCCACAGGAGCACAGGGGAGGGTGGAGGGCTAATGTTTGACATCTCTCTTCTCTGCTCTGAGCTCTTCTGGTGCCTCCTGGTGGCCGGGCCCAGCTGGAAGCCAGGGCACAAGGTTGTAGCTGATGTCCTGTGGTCCACAGAGGTCAGCCTCCCAGGGCCCACAGAGGACAGAGAAGGGAAAAGAGTTGACCTGGGAGCGGGTGGGGGCGGATAGGCCCCGCACACAGAATAAACAGCACAGATGGTGACAATTATATGCCGTCACGGGCAGGACCTAAGAGATGTCACATATGGTTTGCCTTTTACCCGATCCTTACAAGTTCCTCAAAGTAATTTATTTTAACTGATTTGTCATTAAGTTTACTTTGATGGCTGCATGAGGATGACTATATAAAGATTAACAAGTCTTACTGGAAAATTGCCGTGTGGCTGCTGTTAAGTGCTTCTCTGCTATCTGCAGCGTGACAGGCTCTGTCTGAGCAGTGAAGGACCTGTGTTAGTCTGATGGGCCTGTTTGTAATTGAGCTGCTATTGGGCAGATGTGCAGAAATAGATGTTTTGCATTGGAAACATACTGTATCTCGTGCAATAGGGAAAGTCCTCATTACATTAAGAAAATTGGAATTTGGCTCACTGTCTGCCTTCTCGCCCAACAAGTATTTTCTGGGAGGTGAAACAGAGGCCCTGCATGTTATCTTTGGCCTTGAGCACCTCCTCTGTGAAGACTAAACATACATCAGACTCAGGCTAAACTGCCTGCAGGTTTGTATGAAACAGCAAGAAACGCTCAGTAGCGAAGCAGATGTCCTCATGGCTGCCCTGGATGGGGAGGGAAAGGAGAGGAGGAGGGGCGGTCTGCAGCTGGAAGGCCAACCTGGTGGATGCGTTAGTCCCCCAGCATTCCCAGCCCCTCCCTGCTTTGTGGTGGGCACCGCGCCTCACCAGGACATTCCTGGAATGAAGCTGTGAAGTTGCTTTTGTGTCTGTAAGGAATGTCAGATTTTGTTTGCATGCTTTTAATGAACAATGCACACTTGTATATTGTTTTAGAGACCCGTACATCAGGGGCCTTAGAGTAAGAACAGTGCCCTCATTGTATGATGTCAACTCTCTGAGTTGTCTTAAACCATCTATGAAGCCTTGGGGACTCTGGAGACACCCATACGTGGGTAGTCATCTGTAGCATTAAGGCAGGGAATTAGAGGCCCCCCTTTCCTTTTCTGTCAGCACCTTGGGTTTATATCCATATATGCAAAACTTGTGGGGTTGACTTTTTCTGTCCTGCGGGCAGTTTGATTTGTGAGAACGTTGGTGTTGATCATTGTGCCTTTCTTCCATGGTGCCCCACGTTCTGCTTCTGACCGAGGTGTCAGGAGACCACGTGTGAACTGTTGGGGCTGTCTTCAGTGCCTTCGATCTTGCCAGCTGGGAGGTGTTGCCCGAGTGCCCCAGACCTGCTCGTGAACCGCTGTGGTGGACGTGTAGTCTGTTGATGGATAACTTTTCTTGAACTGTCTGCAAAGCACTTGTGACATTTTTTGTGTTTTTTATAGGCTGGCGCGTTCTGACTTTTGTGCACTAGGTTTTCATGGTGACCATCTAGCTCTATAATTCTTACATTTGAAAAAAACAAAATGACGTTTCCTGCATTTGTACTCTTAAAGATTTTTCATATTATATCATTTCCCCTTCCTTTTGGAAGTAGTTTTTTCACACTGTAGCTTTTCTTATTTCTTTAGACTATGCAGTCACCCTGAGTAATCGAAAGTTATTAGTGAGCATAATAACCTATGTCGTGTCAAATTGTGGGCACATCAGAAGTGCAGCCATGCATGGTGTTGATAGGAAATTGCAAAGGGTTCATAAAAATACTTTCCAAAGTTTAATATATTTAGAATGTATCCAGTTGGCATGAGTGGATTTCTGATTTCACTGGGCACATTCATCATAATGAATTTTACTTTCGAAGTACTGTTCCATTTAAACCGCCTCTTAGACTAGAACTCTTGTCTGTGGCAGTGTTTGAATAAAAAAAACCAACCTTTCAAATGCCGTTTACAAATATTTGTTGAAAACCAAATTAAGAGGTTAAAAAAAACATTATATTGAATTTACTGCTCCATAAAGCATTGTAATTATGTAAATTCTTGAGTAGATTGCCAGAGAAAGAAGCAAAGATTCAAGAACAAGTACATGACCAGCGTTAGAGCAGAAATAATAGCTTTTTGAGGAAGAGAAGATTGGGATAAATTGCTTTATCACAACTGGCTTTCAAAAACCTGTTTTTGGATGTTAATAATTTTTAGTGTTCATACTAGACTTCATTGGGTTCTGCTATTCCTAATTGTTTTTAGAGAAGGATTTCTAATAAGTGTTTAAAAGCCATTGATTTAAGTCATTGATCTATTTTCTAGATGTATGCATGATTGGATCGTAAAATCTGTTGAATGTAAATGTGCGTTTTTATAACCACGGCGGAGCAGGTGGTGGCGTTTCTTCCCTCACCGAGGGAGGGAGTGTGTGCTAGAGCTTCCAGCGCTGAACATTTCTCCTTGTACGTCTCTCTGCTCCAGTCTCTTATGAAAGACAGTGTATTCTAAAGTATACTAACTGTATTTCACACATTTCCATTTTTATTACTGGCTTTCCCATGTTAAGATGTGGTCTTTAAATATTTAAACACATGTTCTTGTTTAATCCACATACTGCCTCTGTCACTTGAACTGTTTCCCTGCCTCCTAACATACAGATTATACAGCTGCCTTAGATTAGGCTAACGTCATATTTAGTTTCATTTTTTTCCCCTGCCACATCTACATGTGCATTCTTTCCTCTGTTTTCTTTCTGACTTTAAATGGCAAAGTGGGAGAGAGAGAGGGAGAGAGCCAGCTTTACCCATTACCTGTGACCTCAAGGAGCTTTTTCTTGCTCGTTTTCCTCCCTTTTGCGTTTGTCTGCCTGTGAATCCTGCTGACCGTGGCCATGGCAGGGGCACGAAATGATGGGGCAGTGGGAAGTGTGGAGGAACACTTACTTAACTTTGATGGCTTAGGCTCCAGTCTCTGTATTACCACTCACTCACTGAGAGTCAAGCAAATCAATTGGCATTGCTAAGCCTCAGAAAAATGTATTCAGAGCAACAGATGAAATATAACTCAGTGGTTTGGAGTTTGGCTTCAGAAGACAGACAAACCTAAATTTGAATCATTTGTGTCTTTGTAGCCCTGGGCAAGGTTCTTTGATTTTTCTAAGCATCAATTCTATGTTCCATAAAATGAATAGTATTTATAGGTCTCATTTGAACACTCTGTGAGATAATGCAGATCAAGTGCTTAGCAGAGTGCCTGGCACATTACTAAATGCCCAATAAATGTTAGCTATTAAAATAATATATGTGAAGGTGCTTTGTAATCAAGTTTCCCAGGAAACTCCTGGTGGAGATGGCAGGACAGAACCTATACACAGATCCGTTCGGTGCCACAAGCTTCCACGTTCCCTGTGCCTGTGATGTTGCAAGGAGCAGGCCAGGCACCCTAGCTCAGCAGGGTAGGGTCCTCAACCCCAACATTGACACCACGTTTTAATATTTTTTAAAAAACTGTGTTCCAGGCTTTAGACATTTAACAGAATCATCTATAAAGCAAAATAACAGTCGGATACAGCAGCCTCTTTCATGCAATTTTAAGAGCAGCAGCAGATTGAGTCCAGAAATATCATACAGAAATCAGCACAGATAAGGAGCTTTGCTAAAAGCTTGGCTGTGATATATGCTCATGAATACCTAATTAAGCCACTCAGTGTAATCAACCAGGAAGATTACAAAAGAACAGCAAGTCACATCAAGTGATAAATCATTACTTAAATAACAGAGAACATTAAGTGCCTCAGGTTAGCAACAGCCTTGAAATCAATAGTGTTGCAAAGGAAACGTCCAAGTAGGACAGATCTGGTGTCTCGGAGCACCTCTCGTTGCTTTCCTGGTCCTGTGCGGGATAATGAGCGTGACGATGCCTTGGGCCTGTAGCGCTTACTGTTTAGTGAAGTCTTTGGGGAGTGGGTGTGCGTGAGCGTGTGTGTGTATGTGTATACATTTATGTATATTTCTATACACATATTCATGGACACACATGTTCGTGTGTATGTAAGCATACACACTGGGTTACAATATTAAAATGTATTTCTTGTTGTGGATTGTGATTTTAAAATGTTTGAAAAAAATAATGATCTCTGAGGATGGCCAGCTCTGGCCTGAATTCGTGATTCTCTCCCTTTCTCGTTGTGACTGCCATCTTATTTAAGTTCCCCTTAACCTTCCCAGCTAGTAATCCCTGTGCCAGTTTTCTCCCTTCCGAACATCTTGTGTAGCGCCACAAGAGGGCTCTTTTTAACCCGTGGATAACCATCATTTACTCTTCTGTTCTACTAGTTTCCCCTTTTTTAGAGAGTAAAAAACTGTTTGGTTGGAATGGTCCCTTTTACACCCTCCAAATACACACACACACACACACACACACACACACACCCCTACTACATCTCCCTTTGTGCTCCAGTCTCACTGTCTGCCATCCTGTATGGTCCACCTTTCCACTTGTGCACACTTTCTCCCTTTGCCTAAGGCGCTGTTGAACACATTTCTATTTATTTTTGAAGACCCGGCTCAAATGTTGCCTCTTTGAAGCCATTCTAGGACCCCAGGGTAGACCTCAGCTACTCTCTCACCTTCAGGTACATTGCCCTGCACCTGTGTT